TGTGGATGCCCGGAAGGCCATGCAGTCGAAAAACCAGCGCGTCAAATCTCCCTACACGATCTCAGTGTGGGAGCAGATTTCCCTGTGCACTGTGCGTGGATTCCAACGTCTCAAGGGAGACTCCAGTTTAACTGTCAGTGCCTTGGTTGGTAACTTTATTATTGCCTTGATTGTGGCATCCGTTTTCTACAACCTCCCGGATACAACGGCCAGCTTTTACTCCCGTGGAGCTCTGTTGTTCTATGCAGTTCTCTTGAATGCTTTCTCCAGTGCGCTCGAAATTTTGACACTATATGCTCAACGTCCGATTGTCGAAAAGCAGGCAAGATATGCATTTTATCATCCTTTTACGGAAGCTGTGGCCTCCATGCTGTGTGATACACCTTACAAGCTCATCAACTCAATCACGTTCAACCTTCCCTTGTACTTTATGACGAATTTGCGACGCACTGCTGGTGCCTGGTGGACATTCTGGATCTTTTCAGTCGTCACCACATACACCATGTCCATGATTTTCAGAACTATGGCTGCCACCTCACGCTCCCTCTCACAAGCACTTGTGCCTGCAGCTCTTTTGATTCTGGGAATGGTCATTTACACTGGTTTTGTGATTCCCACTCGCAATATGCTGGGCTGGTCCCGTTGGATGAATTATATCAACCCGATCGCCTACTCCTTCGAAAGTTTCATGGTCAATGAGTTCTCTGGACGCCAATTCACATGCTCTAGCATTGTTCCTTCTGGCGACGGGTATGACTCTGTATCCTTGGACTACAGGATTTGCTCCACGGTTGGTTCTACGGCTGGATCGGCGATCGTGGAGGGAACTTCCTACCTGAAACAGAGTTTCGAATACACCAAAGGACATGAATGGCGCAATATCGGAATCCTGATCGGCTTCATGATATTCTTCTGTTTTGTCTACCTTGCTAGCACCGAATATATTTCCGAGGCAAAGTCCAAGGGTGAAGTCCTGTTGTTCCGCCGCGGCCACCAGCCAAAGCTTGGCGAAACCGACATGGAATCGTCAGCTACCCTTGGCGGTGCTGTCAAAGGCGACGCTCCCGCCCAGGCCTCGGAAGTTCGCATCCAGAAGCAAACGGCTATCTTCCATTGGCAAGATGTGTGTTACGACATCAAGATCAAGGGTGAACCTAGACGCATCTTGGATCATGTTGACGGCTGGGTGAAGCCCGGTACTTGCACCGCACTGATGGGTGTGTCGGGAGCTGGAAAGACAACATTGCTTGATGTCCTGGCCACGCGTGTCACAATGGGAGTTGTCACGGGAGAGATGCTTGTCGACGGACGGCCACGCGACCAGTCATTCCAACGTAAAACCGGTTATGTACAGCAACAGGATCTGCATCTACCTACTTCTACCGTTCGCGAGGCTCTCCGGTTTAGTGCTTTGCTGCGTCAGCCGGCTCATGTTAGCCGAGAGGAGAAACTGGACTATGTTGAGGAGGTGATCAAACTCCTAGGCATGGAGCCTTACGCGGATGCAATCGTTGGTGTGCCCGGCGAGGGATTGAACGTGGAGCAACGCAAGCGACTGACGATTGGTGTCGAACTTGCTGCCAAGCCGCAGTTGTTGCTTTTCTTGGATGAACCTACTTCTGGTCTTGACAGTCAAACTTCATGGTCAATCCTTGACCTTATCGATACACTTACTAAACATGGACAAGCCATTCTTTGCACCATCCACCAGCCTTCGGCCATGTTGTTCCAGCGCTTTGACCGATTGCTCTTTTTGGCGCGTGGCGGAAAGACGATTTATTTTGGTGAGATTGGCGAAAATTCCAACACCCTGTCCAGCTACTTTGAACGCAACGGCGCCCATCCATTGGCCGAAGGAGAAAACCCGGCAGAGTGGATGCTTGATGTCATCGGAGCAGCACCAGGTTCTCACACAGACATAGATTGGCCAAAAGTATGGAGGGAAAGTCCTGAGCATACGAAAGTCAAGGAGCACCTTGCGGAACTGAAATCAACCCTATCTACCAAACCCGAGGACAACTCTGACCCAGAAGCTTTCAAGGAATACGCAGCAGGATTTGGTGTCCAGCTTTATGAATGCTTGCTCCGTGTCTTTGCCCAATATTACCGCACGCCCACCTACATTTGGTCGAAGACTATTCTCTGTGTTCTGTCCGCCCTCTACATTGGATTTTCATTCTTCCACGCTCCCAACTCTCTCCAGGGCATGCAAAACCAGATGTTCAGTGTGTTCATGTTGATGACTATCTTTGGTAACCTGTGCCAACAGATCATGCCCCATTTTGTCACTCAGAGGTCACTCTACGAAGTCCGAGAACGCCCCTCCAAGACCTATTCCTGGCAGGCATTCATGACGGCTAATGTTTTCGTGGAACTTCCATGGAACACCCTGATGGCCGTTCTTATGTTCGTCTGTTGGTATTACCCGATCGGTTTGTATAACAACGCGAAGCCCACTGATTCCGTTAATGAACGGGCCGGTCTCATGTTCCTGCTTATTTGGGTCTTCCTACTCTTCACATCGACCTTCGCCCACATGGTGATTGCCGGAATCGAGCTAGCAGAGACAGGAGGTAATATCGCGACGTTGTTATTCTCCCTTTGCTTGATCTTCTGTGGTGTTCTTGCGACTCCATCCAACATGCCTGGATTCTGGATCTTCATGTACCGGCTGTCCCCATTCACATATTTGGTATCTGCAATGCTCTCAACAGGCCTTTCCGGGACTACCGTGACATGCGAAGCTGTCGAGTATTTGTCATTCAACACCCCTGGAAACGAGACGTGTCAGGATTACATGTCATCGTATATCAGCGCTAATGGGGGTTACCTGTTGAACCCATCGGCCACATCAGACTGCCAATTCTGCACTATGAGCAGCACGGATACCTTCCTTGCTGAAGTGGTTAGTTACTTCTCGGATGCCTGGCGCAACTTTGGCTTGATGTGGGTGTATATCGCCTTCAACATTGTTGCGGCGGTGGGTATCTATTGGTTGGCTCGTGTGCCAAAGGGCAAGATGGTGGCTAAGTGATCTGTGTACGTCGTGTCATCCCAGCTGCGTGATGGCAGCTCGGGACTCCTTTTACCCTTCGACATCATATATTTCCAATTACAAATTCTTTCAACTTCACTGTTCATCGTTCATTGTACGGTCTTCGGAAGATTGTTTATATTACTTTTCTCTTCGTGTCGCTCGTTTCCCAGCTGACTGTCCTGAGATGTACTTCTTGGACACTCACTGGACACTCCGTTTTTGTTGATTTCGATTCTGTTCTGCTGTATACTTTCTCTTTCTTCAACAGTTGTACAGATAGAGCTATACACTATTAGACTTAGACTGCAACAGCAATAATCATATTTTGGCTTACATTATCACACATTCCAGTTGCATGGATTGATTACACAACGTAAGAATCCACAGTGTATAGTAGATATCGCCCAACATATCCAGACCAAGACTACCTATCACATACACGAAACCTTAACGAATTCCTCAAACCGCAAGACTTTTATTCGACAAGACGAAATCTTCAGTTGCTTCCCAATGCTGTCTGTCATGTCGAACAAAAAGCATATTGCCGGCCAGTAAGACTATAATATTATACTATCGCTTCCCATGTCATTGTCAGTAACATCTATATTAATAATACCCTAGCTAATATATGACTGACTATGTAAAGTAGTTATTGGAGTTTAGCACAGTCTACTATTAGCGCTAAGCCTATACAACCTTTGAGTCTCAGTTACTGAACAATATAACAACCTCACCTAAGTTAGTACCCCGACTTCCTCCCCCATACGTGCAGCCCCAAAACATGCTGGATATCTGTACAAAATAACCCGCATAAGCAATCCAAAACTACTAAAGAAAGGCAGCAAAACGAGAAGGCTTACTCCGGGCGCAAGGTAGCAGGGACGGGTATGCTTTGAACCGATCTGAGTCGCGACGTTTACAACATGAAGATCAAGAGGATAGGAATGTATCTGGGCAGGCAATTCTATTATCTACTATTTAAGTCAGACATCCTTGCCAAGGTAGACTGCAGAGGATAGATCACCCCGTTACTAAAGGGCTAGCGGGCTCCATGATTCTAACTAGGGTGAAATTAAGATAATTGCCAATGTGATCAGAGTGCGTGTGACGGGACAGAATATGAAAAGAGGGGAGGACAAGGTGAGTGATTGTGAAGAGCGAGTCGTGAAAGTGCTCCCCATGTTGTCATTAGGGGTATTAAAAGAATGCTGCCCATATGTATGGCCATCATAGCATTGAGGAGGGTGATCTATAATAGATCGTAAGCTCTGGTCTCTGCAGAGTGCAGATACAAGTGGGCTACAAAAATGGTTGGAGGATGCTAATAAGACTAATAATAGTTTGGAACCATGGTATTTTCAGAACTTTGATATATGGATATGCTAACAGCCTCGATTCTGCCAGTCTGTGTACTCCGTATGCAATGAATGTCTCTGGAAGGGGGTGGGGCGGCCGAAAGTTCTCCGCCAAACCGACGAATCAAACCCTTTTGCCAGAGCCACGATCATCGCGAACGGACCGAAATAGGCAAAAATTTCGAGATGGGCGGAGTACCCTAAGGGCTAAGGCAACAGCGTTACCCGTTTTGTCTCACTTTATCCACGAGTATCTAATAAGTTAGTAACAGACAACAAGATTGAAACATGTGGCACTTTGCGGAGTACAAGGCTAACCGGGAAGGACAATCTATTCTATTCAGGGAAACCAAGTTTCCTACTTGAGCCAGATCGCGAGTCTTGGCACTCGTTGATTTTCTTTAGAATCAAGGATCACTTCAACTGGTTCGACGGTTCTCCCATTGCCTCCAAATGGATCTATGCTATAAAGGCTGGCCTGCTCGAGTGTGATGGCGGTAGCTTTGGTATCATTCTTGGACCTTCTTCGCGTAACTCAAGGAATCGTTCGTCGCCAGGAATACTGAATCGCAGATTAATTCTGTCGTTGGCACCGTTGATCCTCCAAAATGACTTCTTTTGAAGACAAAGTAAACTTGCTCCGTCAGTCATCTGAGAATGGCAGGAAGCCTCTACCACGGATTACACTAGGGGCCATCAACAGTGATGGTATGATCTAGGAAACTGCTATTGTCTATCCTTCCTCCTCCAAATACGTGCTGCTTGCTAATATCATACAACCAAGCTTCCTTGCACTATGCTAAGGCATTTGGAGAAAATTCATCAGACTCTACTGATACCGACGCTGTGCATTGGGTGGCCTCTTGTACCAAGCTGGTGACAACCATTGCGGCAATGCAGTGTGTCGAGCGCGGTCTGCTAGATTTGGATGGGGATATCGCCAGTGTGTTACCGGAGTGGGCAAGTCCTCAAATCCTGACGGGCTTCGATGCGAACGACAATCCTATCTTTAGGGCAGCCACCAAACCTGTTACCCTGCGGTATCTTGTACTCTTCCTAATATGAATGAATGTAGAATCCAGGTGTACTAACAGTTAAAAGGCGCATGTTAACCCACTCCAGTGGTATGGGTTACTTCCACATGGATCCTCTGATGACACGCTATCACGAACAGCAAGGAAGCCCTCCTCTGGTCCAAACATTTCGCCAATACCAATTCTTACTTTTTGAACCGGGTGAACGATGGATGTATTCACCTGGCATTGACTGGGCAGGAGTAGCAGTAAGTTTTGACGTCTTAATCATTCATGAATTAGGCCAATTGACAATGCATGGTTCAACAAGGTCGAGCGAGCTACTTCTATGAAACTGGGCGACTACTTGCAGCGCCATGTTTTCGATATCGTTTCCGTCAAGGATGCGACATTCCACCTAGAGCAGAGAGAAGATCTACGGGCCCGTAAAGTCAAAGCCTGGCTGCGCACAGATCAAGGCCTGGAAGAAGAGAAGAATCAGATCTTTCCCGACCCCATTGGGGAAGACGTAGGAGGTGGTGGTCTATACACAACCGTGAACGAAATGCTTAAGATTTGTCAAGGTATACTCACGGCACAATTTCTGCGTCCTGAGACCATTGAAGAGATGTTCCAACCTCATCTGGAGAGTGCTTCCGGCCTTGAACAACCGGAAGATTATTCGCTGGCGCCGCGCAATGCCATATGGAATGCTATCCCACATAACATACCGGTGGATTTTGGGATCGGTGGTATTCTAAATAGATCTGGGATTCCGCAGCGTCGAGAAGTAAATTCGCTCTCATGGTCGGGGAAACCAAATTGCTACTGGGTTGGTTATCTTACACCTATAAGTCACCCGTCGTACTTGACTAAAGTACCATAGTGGATCGACATTAGGAGAGGGATTGCTGGGATATATCTTTCCCAGCTCTTACCCACCGGAGATCAGAGTGCCGTTGAACTGCTAACTGAGTTCGAAAGATGGGTCTACTCGCGTTTGGATAATCTGGATTGCACAGCAAAGTAGAAAACCGATTTAGGATCTTGGTATAGTAGGGTGAGAGTTGAGTATGGCAAATTCAGATAAGTCCTAATGTCGAGGAAGCTTCATCGGGTAACTAGATGATTTGAATTAGAAGATCAGCCATGTCTTCAAATCACTTATTAATATAAGAAGTTGTTTCCTAGTTCTGCTTATCATATATTACCATATCTGTAAAATATTCCCGAGGTACCTAGAGAAGTTCCAATGAAGAAGATTAGATTTCTTGTTGTTGTATTTTTGTGTTGGTTTTTTTTATTCATCGTGTCTCATTTTTCCGTCATTAGTATTATTTTGTATCCCCTGTAGAGGTTGGAGTTGATCCATACATTTAGTTTTGCTTGACTAGCATTAGCTTTAGAATGTCACGTGTTTGAGTTGATTCTGAGTCACGGTGTTTCTAAACCTGTCTAAATAAATTTTGTAGTTTCAGTCTGACACTGCTCCGCTAACTCCTGAACCTGTCACGGGCGGGTGCCCAGCACACTTCATTCGTGGTCGTTCTCAAACGTACCAAGCATTTGGAGGGCATCCATTCTTGGCGGCTTTACCCTTTGAGGCGTCGGCATGTTACTCTATTTATGTAATACTGAGCGATGGATGCTCCACAAGTAACACCTGGCCTAGGACTGAGATTGTAATAAGGCACGACACAACTCATTCTCATATACCAGCGCACCTGTAATTATTCCAAGAGCGCCAAATATGCGTTTCATGAACTTTTTACACTTCTAGCCTTCCCGCTTACATAGAGTAAAATATGTCATCCATGGGCCTTAGCTGGATCTAAGACAGCGGCAGCAACCTTGTCAGAGTATGATGAACTACGAGCGGGTCACAAAATCAGCCTCGCCGTCTTCTTTACTGCTTTGGGCAGTTGAGGGTAGAAGTATTTTTGTAATCCAATCAAACAGATTCTATGAATTTTAGAGTATCACTTGTCTCACACCTTATGACGGATATCTTTTCTCCGTGGATTCACCGAAGATGAAGCCCGTCTATGATGTACATACTAATGGCCCTAGCCTTATTGATCTATTATAAGCTAATTGGAGTGAGTTGGCGATCGACGATGGGTTGGATGTCGTATCTCACAGCTACATGTATGAAGGAGATAACACACAGCCATAAAGACGAAACTGAAACATGGGGTTGGAGTTGATTTTTCTGAGCTGGAGCACGTCAAAGCATCCGGTATGTAGTTTAAGCAATGAAACCCGGTGTCAGAACCTTAGCAGGGCAGGACTGTCAGCTAGGGTCCAAAAAACGTGCAAGGACCATGAAGCGAGGCACTAGTCTCTTTAAGTCGCAATCCAGGTACGGGGCACAAGCAAACCCATACGATGCTGCTCAGGCAGCCACAATATTAGTCAAAGATGGCTGTGTATATCCACTTTGGCAATGTGGTCCCAGCTCCAGGTTGTCATTTACGGGCCCTAAGTGGCCGGTGCTCAGCTAAGAGAGAGCCCTATCTTCCGTATTCGTATTTGACCTCGGCAGGATCTTACTTTGGTGCACCCTGAAACAAAGAAGATCCAGGAGAACAACATAGACGGCGCAATGTAGATGCAGAGCCCTGGAAAGGAAGAGAGAAAAAGAATAGGGGCGACTGCTGTGCTGTGTCATTAAAGAGACAGACGTGCTCCAGGAGGACTAGACGTAGCTTTTCTTACTCTACAGTACTCTTTCCAAGAATCTTAACAGCTACAAAAATCATAACACCTGCAAGCACAGAATGACGCTGCTAAATGTGACCCTTTCTGCTTCTTACCTCTATATATTTGGCACTATATTCTTTGACATCGTTCACTTTCTCCTACACAAATGGTCGAGATCTCGCTGGCGAATCCTCCGCTTTCTTTCTCGCTGTCACCAGTATCATCACCTCTACTACCCCCGATCTCTTCAATTCAATCAGCGATACGCCAAACCAAATGCCTTGATTGCCCTTCCTCTCGAGCTAATATGTCAGTTGCTCGGAAGCATCATCGGCTGGATCCTTGCTACCATCCTGAATTTTTATATTAAACGTCTCGATTCGAAGGCCCTTTCCATTGTCCTCGTCGTACAAACCGTTCGCTCTCTTTATGTTATCATTAGTAACGGCCAGGACTCCAACCATATCGCACTCGAAAAGGTACCGAAAGATCATAGCTGGGCGTTTGTGGGACCGGAGTACCACTCCTTGCACCATATCTACCCAGATCGGTATATGGGGTCTATGGTGAAGCTGTTCGACTGGATTGCAGGTACTGCATACGCGCTGAAGAGCAAGACGGTGGTCATGACGGGTGGGTCGGGGGCATTTGGACAAGCGATGGAGAAGCAATTACTCGCCGAAGGGGTCAAAAGCATACACAAGTTGCAGTTCGGCAGAGACTGGGGCAATGGGAACTTCTCGCGTGTCGGTACCATCCTTCGAGAGGCAGATATCATCATTCTCGCCCACGGAACCAAAGGTCCAGATGCCGTGGACTCAAATTGCATCTCATCAGTCCGTTTAATTGAGCTGTTCATGCAACAGAAGTTCGCACAGTCTCAGAGAACCAAGGTTCTACCTGAGATCTGGTACGTCGGCAGCGAAGCAGAGCTTCATCCTGCTTGGGGTGGGCCTGACATGGTACGATACACTGCGTCAAAGAGAGCATTCTTACCCTACGCTCGTGCTCTGTACAAGTCAGACAAGGTAATATATCGACATATTGTCCCTGCAGCGTTTGATTCCCGCATGGGAAAGGCGATTGTGTCGGCTGACTGGTCTGCGCGGTGCACAATGTCGTGGATTCGACGGGGAGCTTATTATATCCCGGTTACATATACGGGACTCGCATATTTGAACTTTTTCAAGTTTCTACTTGGGGCCTCGGCAGATTCGAGGTGGGTGGACAGGATAGGAGAATCCTAGGGGGTTGTTGCATTACATGAATGGGTATATTGAATCTTTCTTTTGTTTTTTTTTTGTTTTTTTTTTTTTTTTTTTTTTTTTTTTTTTCGTGTATGTAAGCGATCTGCTCTAAGGTTTTCGGCGCATAGAACACTTGATGCGTTGTAAATGTCATATATTAGATTGGGATGTATTTAGACCGATATGGCCGTCCCAGGTGCACTGAGGCGGCCCCTGTGAGATACCCCTTATTGATTCTTCCGCCGACCACATCAATAGAAACAACGTGATTTCACCTACAGTCCATCATCCATTCAAACAAAAAGCAAAGAATGGAAACAAAAACATACAACAGAAGGGATTCGCTGGTGGTCACCCACCCAACTACTAACCTCCCGGCGTGTGGCTTAAGTACGGCTGAGCGGACGGGAAGCCCTGTTTTCCACACCCTGTGGTCGTATGTACTTAATTTACCCATAGCAACAGTCAAATACGGCTAACAATGAGCAACATTCTCCAACAATATGATTCTGTTCATGCAACATCGTACTCCGAGGGCCTCTGTCAGGCACAAATGTGCAGATTGGCAGTCATCGTGGCCGCAAGGCAGGAAGACACCCCAGCTTCTGTAATCAGAAGCAGCCAGTCAAATTCCGACGATAAGATTAGCCTGGGGGAAAGGCGCAATCCAGAGCCGCGCTAATAGACTAACTCGCTGCTGCGCCTTCTCCATATAGGGCATAGTTGCATGCGCCGGCGTATATAAAACAACCGAACCTGCCACTACGGACTGGCCCCCGAATAGCACCTTGTTTTTTTTCTTTCATCACCTGTACTGCCCATACTATATCCACAGAATGCCAACAGAAGCTTTCCACCACCTCAGTCGTGCTCATTTTACAATCGCAATTATATGCCCGCTTCCCCTAGAGGCAGAAGTGGCGATACCGCTGTTTGACACGGTCTACGATAGAACTGTCTATGAAAAATACGGGCCTGTACGAAATGACCCCAATCACTATACGCTGGGCCGCATTGGCTGTTACAATGTGGTTTTGGCCCACATGGGTGGTTGTGGGAAAGCCGAATCATCCAGCGTGGCCAGTAATATCAAACAAAGCTATCCAGGCATCGAACTGGCCCTTCTAATAGGGATCTGTGGAGGAGTGCCTTACAGGACGGACGTGGGTCCAATACAACGCAGGAGAGATGTTTTCCTCGGCGATGTGATACTTAGCAGCGCGATTATTCAATATGATTTGGGGAAAAGACTTCCGCACCGATTTGTGCGCAAGAATACGTTAGAGTCCAATCTAGGGCGAGCGAGTCTGCAGATCCGATCTTTCATGACCCGCTTAGAGTCGCGTCATGGAGACCTCTCCAAAGACCAACAGGGGCACCTTCGGACTATACAAGGTAGCAAGGATGTGCCATATCCTGGTATCAAAAGCGATATCCTATTTAAAGCTGAATACAAGCATCGCGTACGCTGTCTGTGTATGAGTGATGCCAGCGGGGACCAAAGTGTCGTGGACCGCCGTCGTGTGGACTCTGATGGGACTCCGTATATCCATATTGGCCGGCTTGCCTCTGGAGATACTGTGATGTGCTCTGCCAAGGATCGAGACAAGATTTCCAAGCGCGAGGAAGTTCTTGGTTTTGAGATGGAAGGGGCTGGCGTATGGGACAATATCCCTTGCATCCTGATCAAAGGAGTAAGCGACTACGCTGATAGCCATAAGAATGATACTTGGCAATACTACGCAGCTGCGAGTGCAGCGGCTTGCATGCGTGCTCTCCTGGATCAGAATCCCATTCCGAATGTGACATCATCAGCGGGCCTGGCCCAGGGTATGTAAGCAACTATGGTGTTCATAGCTTCCATTAGGTTCTTTTAGCTGTGTACTTTACTGAGCGTCAATTGATTACCCTGCAGATATAATTGCCTCCCAGTTGAATCCGCGAAAAAGACCCGCAGAGACTTCTGAAGACTCCAGTAACGAACGGGAAAAGGCGTGCCTTGATGTATTAACTTTCCCCCAAGCCGAGTATCGCCTGGACGAGATTATGGATCCCCTCAATACGACATGCACTTGGGTATTAGAACGACCAGAATATAAGACATGGATGAGTGGGGAGGATTTAAAAAGTCACGGAGGATTTTTCTGGATCAAAGGGAAGCCCGGAGCCGGAAAGTCGACGCTCATGAAACACCTTCTTTCAAAGGCAAAGCAAACTGGAAAAGACACAATCATCTCCTCTTTCTTTTTCCATGCCCAAGGGGTGGACTTGGAGAGGTCCACTGTGGGTATGTATCGCTCACTCTTGCATCAGCTTCTCTCGTCTACTGCCGTTCCATCGAGTGCCAAACAGCCCTACTTTAGCTTCGCAGCGAAGATGCTAAGTCAAGATGACGGCATAAATTGGACAATCCGAGACTTGAAACATCAGCTGTTATCACTCATCCGATTGCTGAACAACCGCTACGTGTTCTTCTTTATTGATGCTCTGGACGAATGCGACCAAGCCGAGATGGAGGACATGATACCGTTTCTCGAGCACTTGGGGCACTCTTTGAATGCATGCGATGTTCATCTGAGAATCTGTCTGGCAAGCCGACACTATCCACAACTCAACATTGAACGTGGCATTGAGTGGGTCTTGGAGTACCAGCAGGAGCATCAAGGCGACATGCGGAAGTACGTTGAGACGAAATTGAAAGGGGGCAAGTCAAAAATGCTCCAAGAGATCAGAGAAGAAGTGTGCGCCCGAGCATCCGGTGTATTTCTCTGGGTTATACTTGTAGTTCGATCGCTAAATGATGCGTTCGCCAGGGGCAAAATCCACGCCGTACGTCAACGGCTGGATGAAATCCCAGACGGGCTTGATGAGCTTTTCACCGATATGCTGACCAGAGACACTGAGGAAATTGATGACCTTATCTTTTGTCTTCGACTCATCTTGTTTGCACAACGTCCATTGTCCAAGGATGAGTTCTACTTCGGGGTTATGTTTACCAAAAACGGCTTGATCAAAAGAGAAGGCGAATGGCACATCGATCCGCACATTGAGAACTTCATCCTCAACGTCTCCAAAGGCCTCGTGGAAATTACCCGCACCAAAGCTCGCATAGTACATTTCATTCACGAGTCAGTGCGAGATTTTCTACTACGACGAGACGGTTTTAGCAAACTCCAGGCTGGGTCGAGCGCGAACACAATCGGGAACGCCCATAACGAGCTTGTACAAGTCTGCTTCCGATACATCTGTCAAATCAGGCTCATTAAGGCAAAGGAGTTTCCAAGACACTGTGTATGGCCACCCCTAGTATGGCCACCCCAAGTCAAGAACGAGTATCTGAATGCAGAAACCCCATTCCTCAATTATGCTATCCATAGCCTCCTGCCTCACAGCAATGCGGCTGAGGCTGGAGGCACTTCGCAAGCTGCCTTCCTGCAAGCGTTTTCTTTGTCATTCGAGGACTTCAAGCACATCCGCAATGCCCTTACATTATGTCACATTCGCCAATATGGATCCGACGTCACGGTTCTATACGTTCTAGCAGAATTGAACTTGGACCACCTCATCCGCCTGGAACTTCTACGTACGCCACAGACGTGGAAGCAAATGGGAAGGTATCACAGCCCAATGGGTGCGGCTGTCTACTTGGGTAACACACTTGCAATCAGGGCCTTACTTGGTTACAATACGAGTTCAGATGCCTCTGTCGACAACTCCTTGCTTGAGGCTGGGGTTATTGATCGTATGAAACAATATGTGGTCAACAGCAAGCGAATCAAGATGAAAAGAGGTTCTATGGCTTTGTATCTGGTGGAGTACGCTATTAAACGTGGTCATGTAGCCATATTAAAGCTCCTCTACCTCACTGGCAAAATCGATCTGAACCATAAGCTCAACTGTCGTTCGCTACCGCTTATCTGTGCGATTAAGTGTTCCAAGGCAGAAATCGTGGAATTTTTGCTCAGCTGTGATAGAGTCACTATTGCCAGCCCCACAAACGCTTTGCAAGCTGCGATCACTCGAGGTAAAAGGGATGTTTGCAGTATCCTACTTTCCCTCCCATGCAGTCTTCGTTGGTTGGACTCCTACGGGGGAGTTGCCATCCACTGGGCAGTAACTGGAAACAACGGGTCTACAATGAGACAACTCCTTGAGCTTGGTTGCGACGTAACGCTACGCGATGGAACTGGTCGAGATGCTTTGTCACATGCCGCCGAACAAGGCAAGATTGAGATGATGAAAATCCTAATTGAGAGCGGGGTTGTCGATATAGATGGGAAAGATGGTCAGGGAAGGACGGCTTTCTCATGGGCCGCAGCACCAAACAGTGGAATGCTCAAACATTCGCCTGACCCGAAAAAATGTTGGGATCAATTGCAAAAGGAAGCCATGTATGTGCTACTCAGCACGGGAAGAGTTGATGTGAACTCCAGAGACAAACATCAATGGACGCCCTTATTATGGGCCGTTCAGAGTAATAAACCAGTGGCAGTGGACATTCTTCTTGAGGCCTCAGAAACTGAGGTTGACTGTAGAAGTGTGACAGGAAAAACACCACTTACGGTAGCCGCAATGTGTGGACATGAAGCCATGCTATGTAAGCTCCTGCAGTCAGGTCGTGCGGATGTCAATTCTCAGGATATTTTCGGGAGAACACCCTTATCTTGGGCTTTTTACCCATCTGGCATTTCTCCACGGCCTTCTGGACAAGGCCTTCCTCCAAAGTCCAGCAGAAAATGGCAGTACTTGGTAGACGGAACATCCCCGCATCGTGCAGTTCCGTTGCTGCTGGATTGCCCGATAATAGATGCCAGCATTCCAGATTCCTTTGGCCATCCAGCCTGGTGGTGGGCCCAGATTTTCGGAATTAGTTCTCCCGCAGTCTGTGAATGGGTTGAAGAGGAAGACAAAAAGGTCATGCAGTTGCTCATAGATCATCTGTCGAAAAAGAACATGTCCAATAATAACGCGGTTCTGCCACTGGATAGGGAAACACTCAAGGGCGAAATGCAGGTTGTTGCAGCGTCCTATACACCATGTGACTATTGAAGACTCCAGTGAGGCATCTAACCTATTGATGTTATTTTCAACAATTTATCTATAGACATGATCCACCTGTAAAGGCTCATGGAGCACTCCCCCTCTCGATCGACTGATATAGACGTGGTGAAGTGGTGAGGCTACATCTCTTCTCATGTACATAATGTATAATTACATTCAACAAATATACAAATACAATAATTACACTCACAGTAAGAGTCTAACGGGCTCATTTGATACACTTCCTATTACGCGTCAAAGTGCAATGTCAGTTACTTTGCAAAGGCATCCTTAGCTCGGGCTTGCAGGAGACAGGAGACCATCGTCTTCATACATGACCCATTTTACGATCTGATAATACCAAATACCTATATACTAATCTCAATCCCAGTCTAGACCATCTTTTTGGTCATCTTCAAGTCTTGTAGGCAAGCTATTGGGTTTTCGCATTCGTATCCTTACGCAACAAACTAGCTGTGAAAGCTGCATACACAGCCGTCAGAGTATGCAGCATACAGTCATAATTCACACTTATCACTGTTTATCACGAACCAGTCTATGCATCATCTCTTCTCTCCAGCCCCAACCCAGCGCAAAGGTGGCCCCAGGCCCAAGAGTAACTATAGTCCCCACCAGTCCCCCAACGGCCTTCAACCAAGAGAACGAGGCCCCAGCATCTTTCAATTCTTTGAACTTCAACGCTAGCCACATAACCCCACTAGCCATGGATATCACTTCATCATACTGGAGGAACCTCGCAATGCCATCAGCAAATGAGGTGACGGGCTCCGGGTGGCCTCTCAACCCAGGAAGGAAGGCACTAGCGAACGAAGTATGAGCCGGTGCAGTGCATCGAGCGTGGAGAAACGTAAGTCCAGAGATCAAGGCAAACGAGCCATATGCGTACCGGACGTAACGCATATTCTGCTTATGTTCTTCTTTCTGTTGTGGCTTCTTCTTACTCCCGAAAGCTCTCTTGACCAGACGATGCAAGGGAGCCTGTAGCAGAGGTACGACGACAGGAAACAATTGCCAAATGGCATTGTAGTTGCAGCGCGATTCAACCGTTGGTGCCACGAAGTTTGCGATTGTGGGGATATAGTATCCCGTCAGCATGGCAAACAGCAAAGAGCTCGAGGTCTCCTGCGGTATCTGTTGCCTTGCCCCCGGTAGAAGGCTTGAAAGGGGCGAGCTGATATGCTCCAGTGCGTAGTAAATTGGAGCAAACTTTCCAATGCCCTGCAATTGGGACGCGATTCCTGCGCCTATCGGGCTATTCGGTTTCAATTTAGTCATGCTTTCTGGTATAGGGGAAGACTTTCAAGTAGGTGAACTTACAGTATGAGCTCATACCAGGAATGTACTTTGCGATAACTTTCCAGCAGCCATATTCCGTAGATGGGGCCAATGTCGGTCATGAATGTTAGCATTTGAGTGCGGGATTGTGGATCAGATCCACTGATAGAAGGCAAGAAACACGTAATCGCAGGCAGAAAGAGCTTGTCCAGGAATGGCATATGATAGAGTGGTCTGTTTAGGTTGATGACCTCCCCATTAGCTGCAGACCATACGCCCTCTGCAAACGAAGACACCATGAAGGGCACAGTTTGAGTTATCAACGTCCCCATCGTCTTTTGCGCAGCAGCATAACAGCAAGCAAAAGGGACGATTGAAATAGCACGCTTCCATACCTCATTATTCTGTTTGGAGACATTGTTTTCATCATCCAGGTACGGCATGGTGCATGCTAGTGACTTTGGTGGCAGAGGTATTCTGTCAATCTTTGCTGCTCCAACAATTGTAGCGGACGTTTGATCCACCAAGTATTGACTAAGATATGGAAGAAGATAAAGCCCGATGATCTTTTCTTTGAGACCAGCTAGAGCCTCTAGTCTGGTTAAGTCATGAGCTGACTGCGAAATATGGATAAGCCGTTTTTGGCGGATGTTCTGCCATACTTGCAGGCACTGGTGGATATCCTGGACATCTGTCTTTGTTTTGGTAGGGCCGTTAACAAGAGTAGAGAGGCTGTTTGCAAGCGACGCAGCACTCTCAATTGCACTGTTGCCGCCCTGGCCCAGGTTTGGTGTCATCTATAGTCAAAATCTTAGCTGAGATTCTGGTAATACTCGAGAGATTAGACGCACCTTATGGGCTGAGTCACCAATGCAAACATATCGGTCGACACACCAATGCTTATAGACAGCCTCTTCAAGGGATACAAAAGTCCTGACAATTGCTCTTTTGCTGACCTCAGCAAGCGGTACGTCAGGGGTGATCGGTTTCTGTAGATAGGGGGCGAGATGGCTATCGATCTCATCTTGACTGAATCTGGGAATTCGAGATGCGGTATAAGTTCTGTCCATTCTAGTGAAGAAAAACCAGTAAACGCGCCCTTCTTTCCCGATAATCGTCAGTATGGAGTAGCCCTCAGCGAAGGTTCGATGTCCATGTCCTGGTCTCAGTCCGGGGGTAGCTGAAGATATACCGAATACACAGTTGTACTCGGATGTCATCACTATATTTCAAATGAATTAGTAAGGGTCATATAAAGCTGCTGCTTTATGTATGGTGGAGTCGTACAGTTCTTCTCCTTCACTGCTTCATGCTCCATCCCTCGAGACTCCATATACTGCCACATCTGTCGTCTCACTGTGCTCCGTACCCCATCGGCTCCAACAACAAGATCACCCTCATAGATGGATTGATCCGCACAATGGACCATAACCTTTTCAGGAGTATGCTCTATCTCAGTCACCTTCTTGTTGACCATAACACGATGTCTTTTGTCTCCGAGGCCCTCGTACAGAATGCTGAGCAGGATTTGGCGATCAAGGAACGCAACCGGATAGCCATGTCTGTTGGATCAGATTCGCCCCCAGTGTATAAGATTCGAGGACTAGCGAATATATTGACTTACCTTTCATGTATAGTAAGGGGTGCAACTGTGTCGGTAATGAGCTTGGCGTCATGGGCCCAAGTGAAAGATCTAGTGAGAGGCTCAACTTGACTGAGAACGTCATCGTAAAGGCCTAGTTGATCCAGGATGCGAGCACCATTCGGAAGAATACCAATAGATGCACCAACCTGGGGTGCAATATCCGCATGGGACTCTAGCACAACAAAGTCGATGTTGTTTCGAAGCAGACAGTGAGCGAGCGTAAGCCCGGCGATTGACCCGCCCACAATCACGACGCGGAACCTGGATTCGGAGTCTGCCATGATATACTCTATATTTCCAAAGTACCCAGAGATGTCGCTGTAAAGTGAATGACAGGCAGTGTGTGAGGGACCGACACGACTACGACGACTGGAGATATCATGGTCTTTATGTGTGTCTCCCTAGGTGGACCCATCTAAAGTAGTCAGTGTGATTTGGCATAAGAGAGAAATCCAGCATGCATGTGTTATCACACTCCACTTCGTTTATGCAAAGTGTCGTTAACTACAATTAAACTGATTAAACTAAAACCATGGAAAAGGTCGATCAGATCTCAATGTAGTTAGAAGGTCCAGAAGCATTTAGGACCGTTCCTTCATGAAACGCAGTGGGTCCAAGCCTCGAGCCGAGAAACCCGGGAAATCCGAAAACGCAACTTACAAGAAACCCGATGATCCCAAGTCCACCTATACTCCTTTTTCTCCAGGAGGTTATTGTTTTTTATGGTTACTTTATGGTTTCCATCATGACGGTCTCACATACCACAATTTCCACAACGAGAGATCGGAAACGTCGAGAACAGAAGCCCCGCGTTCTGTTGTCTTGCACGTCATGCAGGGAGAAAAAGTATGTACTGGCCGTATAATCAAATGACAATTGATCTCTTTGTTTTTGTTTGACAATGTATAACATTCTTAAAGGCTGAGATGCAGCCGGGAACGCCCCTGCACAAACTGTAGGAAACGGGGCCAGGATACAGCCTGTCAATACATTACCGAGCGTTCGAACCCCTCGACATCGGGGAAGTCAGAACCTATCGACGTACGCAATGACCTGCAATCTTTGAAGGAAAGGTTGCTCTTCTTAGAAAGGCAAGTCACGCGGGATTGCAACTCTTCTTCCACGTCTCGGGATGATAGGCTTCACGTTGGCGAGAGTCCCAGCAGAAATTCTAGCGAAAGTGAGGTAGCTTCGACGGGATCACAAGTTCCCACAGGAGGAAATTCCTTAAGTGTTTGCTTCCTGGCTGGGAAAAGTGGGACTCGATTCGTTAATCCAAGTCACTGGCAGGCAATTATGAACGATGCGGTGAGTCACGCCAGAGATGTTTAATCCTGCCCCTAGGAGGGGATTTTCATCGTGACATTTCCTGACCTAGATGTCAGAATCACGAGCTCAATCGAGAAGATTGCAGCGATAATGATGGCCAAGACGCTAATGAGATCTCTCGGTCGGAAGGCCCAGTCCTGCTACTGGGAATTTCACGGATGATGGACATGGCAGAGCTTCTAAATGCACTACCGCCTCGCGAAACCGCAGATTTGCTCGTCGATCGCTGTCTAAATTCCGGGGAACCATCGCTAAGTACGTACTCAGACCCTAATTACATTACATGTATCCTTGAACAACCTCAAAAAGGATCTAACAAGACCTGTAGTCATTATTCACGCTCCGACGTTCAAAAGCGAAGTACATGCCATTGATAATCGAGCTATAATACAATGATCTAACGCAGGTTTCCAACAGTACCTGAAATTCTGGGATAACCCCGCTGGAACACCGGTCGCTTGGATCGCACTATTGTATACAATCCTCTCTTGTGGGATATACATCCAGCATACGGCAGATCCGAAAGTGTCCTCACTAGACTTGCCTGGAGCATTCTATGTGTACCGTAATAATGGTGCAGTTGCGTTGGCGAAGTCAAATTTCGCTACTCCGGGCCTTTATAAGTTGAAGCATCCATCTTATACCTCGGTATCGAGTACCTCCAAAGCAACGACCACAAAACAGGACTCCCAATGTTACTCAGCGTTGTGTCGCGACTAGCAATCATGATGGGATATCATCGGGATCCTCAGCTCTACCATCTCCAAATATCGAGTTTTGAAGCAGAAATGCGGCGCAGAGCATGGCTTCTACTGATCACAATCGACTCCGTACTTGCGTGGCATACAGGTCTACCCAGGGTTGTAAGTCATAGTCTAGGCGATGTAAGGCCGCCCAGAAACCTTCTGGATAGCGATTTTGGTCCAGAAACTACTGTCCTTCCTCCTTCGCGCCCCGCAGATGAGGTCGCCAGCAACATTGTATACATGTCGGCAATGGAGCGGATGCTGTCTGTTGCCAACGAAGTCGGCGATATGGCTTCACACCCTTCCCTACTCCCTGACAGAACTCTTGAATTAAACATGAAACTGGAAAATACCAAGAGACGCTTGCCTAGTATACTTCAGTTGCAGTCCCCAGAAATATGGGCATCGGATGATGAGACTGTGATCAAACAGTACTCTCTGGAAATAACGTATCAGCGCGCGCGATGCATCTTACATCGTCATTACTTGACGGCCCTATATCCAGATCCGCATAAGGGACTAAGATCCGTGTGCGTGGATGCAGCCCAGCAGGTGCTAACTCTCTATTCGGAACTATTCCAAGTTCTGGCTAGAACACATAATCAGAAGCTAGCGTGGTTTGGGGCATCTCGCTCAATTTCTGATTGCTTGACAGCTGCCATGGTAATATCTTTGGAAGTGATAACACAATCAAAAAATGGCAGAACGGTGGGAATTACGCCCCAGGGTGATCTCATTGAGCTATTGAAAGCCTCCCAAATATCCTGGAGAAGCTCACCAAGGCCATCGTCGGAGACCCTCAAAGCTGCACGTATAATTGGTACAATGCTAGATCTATTGGGATATGGCGGGGCGGGTCCCTTGCTTGCCTCATATGGGGCTCAAGAAGGGCAGCAGAATCATAGAGAAAGCACAGAGACGTTCTTACGATCCCCAAGTATGATGCATGACATACTGACGGGGGATTCTGCGTTGGAAATTTTTGACTGGGTAAGGTGTACTGCTCCATCGCACTTATTACGCTGACCATGACGCTTCAAGGCTCTTTGGGATCATGAGATGCATTGTCTGAGTGCGGTGAATAATTGATTGTGAGAATGCTGATGACTTGCCATCTTACCTAATTTGGCGGTGGATTGATGAAAACCTTATTCGGTCAAAAGCATTCAGAGATACTGTCAGTATCGTGAGGGCAAATCTCTGAAAGATACTGTCTTAACAGGATAGACTGGCTAGAATGTTCGGAATACATGATACATAACTTCACCATATTCTCCGTTTTATTGATTCCGTAAGTTTTCTTGCCATTACCGATACATAGAAGTTATAATGATCTGATACTCTCTAGCTAGTAATTGGAAGATCCATTACCCGACCCTTGCCAATGTGACAAGAGCTGCCTGTCAGCTTCTTCAGCGACAAAAAGCCGAATCCGCACCCACTCAAACATGAACAAGTCTAATGCTAGGGGAGTGTGTTATCGTAAGCAGTGTCCCATACAGCAGTACCACCCTCTGCTTTGTGAAGAATGGTACAGAGAGCGGCGTCCTTAGTATGGCCTGTGAAGTTGATGTGTGCAGACTTCTCGCTAAGATCATTGAAATTGATCAGGTCGCCCGGTGCCTTTGGAGTGTTTGACACGTAAAGTTGGATAATAGGGGCCACTTCCTGACTGTTGTTGGGCTTAACGCCAATCTAGAGGCACGGAGGGTGTCAGCAAATCGAAACTTACCGGGCAAATAAAACAAAAGTGAGTAAACGGGGACACTCACAGTGGCGCATGGCAGAATAGGCCCGGGCTCTTGGGAAGTCTCGTTTGGGTTGCGTTTCCCAAAGCCAATTACATAGGTCTTGTCATCGTTCGGGATGTCCTGGCTGGCGACCTTGAAGGTATTTGGAGTCTGGACGTTTTCCCCCGAGTCATGCAGCCCAACATCTCCATCCTTGAAGACAAGGTCGAATTTTTCTGGGTATTTTGTCAGTATTTATCAGGAGCGCAGTGCCGCGCTTCTAAGATACAACTACCTGGGCCTCCGTCTTCAATCCCTGAGTCCCACCAGTGATCTTGGTCGATATTGACATGATCTCCTTCCAATGTTCCGACTCCTGGATTCCCGTATCAGCCTGGTCTCTGAAAAGTTCATGAAAGTGTTCTGGATCGTTCATGAGTAATGAACATATAATGAAGCAACGTACCCGCAAAAATGGGTGCAGTGGTGTGGACGTTCCAGACCGTTTCATTGTTGATGTGGTTGCCGCTTGCAAAACAAACAGGAGTATCAAAATCAGGACTGGGAGGCGGAGCAAAGAAAATATATTTCTGTGCTGCACCACTATTGTTTATCACTCTGAACCAATGCACTTCTTTTTCGTCGCCTCCGGACATTTTTGCAGTGTCTAGTGTTGAATGAGTCTTGGGAATGGATTGTAGTTGTTAAGGATGGATGAAAGGTTCATGTTGGAGGGGATGTTCCGGGCTTTTATAAGTTCCTGTGGGAGCTGCATCCAATCTCCCCTCAGTGGAGGTCAAGCTGAACCGCGCGGCGACTTAGCTGGAATACGGTCATCGATGGACGTCACTCTATTGCTACAATCAATTGCATGTAGTTACAACTGTAGATCGTGAATATGTGCCGAAAGCATACATGATATAAATCTACCATGGTTGGCTCCAGTTGATGACGACGTCTTGCACCAATTACTTCTACTGGAAGCAAGGCAGTATCTTCACGGTGTGCTGCCCAGTCTGCCCAAACTTCGATGTCCCTTACCCTTGCAGTGGTATTTGAATCTATAGTGACGCACTTGAGTGCATTAGCTTGCCTCTCATGGTTAGATACCAGTCGCAACATTATGTACCGCGATATCCGATATCAGAGATGTCTTCCTTGCTTTTATGGACCCATTCCTCGATAATGAACTTGGTAAACACTAGTCAATTGAAATTTAACACTGTAGTGTTGACCCTGAATAAAAGATCATGAATGTTGTTTTTATTTGCATTATTGTCCATGTATACTGAGTTCTGATGCTCATCTTGGTATCATGTGAATCCGAGTTATGATAACTCCTAAAGAGTCACAATTGAAGATTGAAGGTCTCGTGAATCCAACAGTTTCACCAGTATCAGTGACACATCATAAAATTCTTTCAGTTTGTGTTGTAGAGAGGAACCCTGGAACCAGCACAAGTTGTGTGAATACTAGCGTAACAGCCGCGGAATAGTGGATGCCATTGTCTCACTCGGTTACATACTCTTGATGTTTCATTCCATGGGTTCCATATCATGCCCATCACTAGTTGGCTTTAGCAGAAAGGCAGAATTAGATGCGGCTGGTCGTCGAGCCATATGTATCGTGTCATGATGAGTCAAAGTACCTTCCGCGGCCATACACATTCGAAGCGCCTTGGGGAAATGTGTCGAACATCCGCAGCCGGACAAGGATATGTTTATTCTGGGACCTCCGAGCCCAGACTCTAGCCCCACTCCATTTCTGCAGGCCGAATTAGGAAAGTTGCTGCTACCGAGACCTCTTTTCTGGCACCATAACCTGAAGTCAATTGCAGAATCGAGCTGTGCATGAGCCTAGGCTCTGGGTGCTGACAGTCAGGCTTCCGAAAACGTTGTTGGAAATATACTCCATCACCCAATAGGAGGCACCTATAGGGAATCTGGGTGAGGTGCCAAAATATACCGAGCTGTTCGATGACAGCCACGCCTCGCCTTGTGACGACGTATAGTATTTTTAGAGGAATGCTGGAGCTCCAGTGGGGAGTGGTGCTAAAGTCAGGGCCAGCCAGCTTTGCATCAGACACTGGGGTCAGCAATCTAATTACCCAGTCGTGAACTTCACCGGATAAAAGAGGGTCATACTAATTGTAACCCCCGTGGCGGGCTGTGGCCTTTCGTTGAACGAGTCTGGTTTCTGTGATCCAGATCGGCGGCAGCCTTGCCTTCTGCTAGTTCAGCTATCATTGATCTATCTTCGTTGCTCTTCAGAAGTGGGCCGATGATGATGGGGATGGGTCCTAGGTCTATGACAACATCACAAAGTATTTTGTTAAGACAACCTTCTTCGCACCCCTAATGCAATTACACGCCTGGTAAATGGCAGGCTCGAATACTTCCTGCATCTCAATGGCAACGCTCTCCTAGAGCTTACCTAGCCACGATGGTTCCATCCGTTCAGCGCTTGGGTCGCTAAGATCGTCGACTCCTTGAGCGTGGCTTACTTACACCTGAGCTATGTCACCGGTGAGCTTCTGTGCTAGATTAAAATCTTTCTCACGGATATCAGCACAGCATCCACCAACGCCATCGCCTAAACGGCCTAAACCAAGGATAACTTCGCGTGGCGGGGGATTTAGATCTAAATTGCAAGCTCACGCACCGGATCCCTTGATGAGAAAATGGCCACGCGTTTTAGCGTCACCGCGACGAACTCCACCGGAAGGGGATTAAAAGTGAACATCAAAGCCAAGAAAAAAAATAGGAAACGAAAATAAATAAAAGAAAAAAACATACAACAGAAGGGATTCGCTGGTGGTCACCCACCCAACTACTAACCTCCCGGCGTGTGGCTTAAGTACGGCTGAGCGGACGGGAAGCCCTGTTTTCCACACCCTATGGTCGTATGTGGTAAATTTTCTTTTATTTTATCCTATGAAGAATTATTTTATTCTATGAAGAAGATTATAGAAATTCCATGCTGAATTCTAACCCTCACCTTCTCCTTCAAGTCAGGACAGCAGCTTTAGACCAGACGCGTATTGCATGCTAAATTACTTGGAGCGGGTTCAGAATTCCTAATTTGAATTAATCGGGATAATTGCCCGCTGAGCTTCACTGTTACGTGTAATTAATTACACTGTCCAGGAATGTAGCGCGCCCATAATGCATCTTGTTGTGTCGACAGCAAAAGAACTTCCCAATGTATCCTGCATCATCGGGAAATGTTTCCCTTCGTGGGGTATGCATCAGGTTCCGGCAGCATGGGAAAGCCATATGTTGCGGTTGCAAGGGTTTGATTTGCGGTCCTAATCCTGTCCTTCCAGTGTTGGAATAATTGCTTTCTAGACTTAATGGTGTTGAATGACAGAACATTACGTATACTATGCTCATATAACAATCACGCTACCAGATTCTACCCGTTACACAGATTTCGATTATGTTCATACGGCCACTCGACAGCCGAGGAGATGACACTTCAATTCTCATTTTAGGTGGGCTGACAGCGTTACATGACTTCATCGACCTGGGTTATGATGTGGCCTCTGGAGAAATCGGCAATGTAATGGCTTCCTTGTGCAGAGGAGACCTTGGGCCCGGGCCTATGAAGAGGGCTTATGGTCGGATCGGAGCCCTGCTGACCTGGGCGATGGAAAACCGCAAGTACGAGCCAGACACCTTATTTATCATGGAGACTTTTATATGGCAGATGGCAAATGCTCGTCACCGTGTTATGGAGAATGCTACTGCTGTCCCCGAGAACCTCAGGATTAGGGTACAATGGAAATTTGAGGGAGATCTTCCTATGTATTACGATCTTGTGGACGACTCAGGATACTCACAGCATACGCCTGAGCGGTATCAAATTGCAATCCCTTGGTCCGGGGAAGTGGTGACAGGTGGAGATTATGTCTCCAGAGTTGTGGAGCTAGCTGAAAGACCAGAAGAGCAAGAGGTTATCAACTTGTTCTAAGTTGAATATCTAACGGGGGCGGATCAGCCAGATTTCCAAGTATACATCCCGGCCGCCCTAAGATTGATGTGTGATGATGATTAGCAGCGCAAAGTTGACTTCACCTGGGCACTTTGCATGGCCATGTGGGATGAGGGTATCCTATATGCTGCTTCAATCTGTACACTGAGAATTAACAAAGGTCGATTAGCAAATGACGATAGGGCAGGAAAAGATTACGAGGATAGGGAGTGGTAAACCATGCTCGCGGCATTGATAAAACCCGTTGGTCATATACTTACTAGTACTTGGCAAGTTGGAAATATATTTTTGCGGAGAGCGGCTTCATTCAACCTGCAGTCGACGTTGAAAATCATAACACGACTCAAAAGGCTACTAGTACTATTAATATGTATCAGGGAGAGACTAGTAATGTGTCTGGATACTTGATTAACTCCATAAGGAAAAACAAAAGCAAACAAATATAAGAAATGATTGTTGCAGAAGAGCAAAAAAGATTAGTCAAATTTGAGAGGGTAATAGAACAAAAAGATAAGGAAAAAGATCTGTCCCGAGGGAGGTTCGAACTCCCGGCCTTGGGATCGCATGGAAGTTATGCTTCCACGTCATACTGTAGTATGAGACCCACGTGATAACCAACTACACCATCGAGACGACTTGTTGAAGGACGTCTCTTGGTATAGCATTATATGGCAATCACAGGCAGAGGCAGGAAGTCAATTCTCAATCCGCGCCATCCTTTCACCCTTTTCCGTCCCCAACGAAGGTGCATAACCGGCGATAAGATTGATTAAGCTTACATAGCCCCTAAGCAGCGGGTCTAGCACAGGGATGTGCTTTAACCATCCCAGCTTTCTACCCAAAGGAGTCGTAGTAGCGTCGCCAGATGCTCTCTTATTTCTACACTAGGAAACTCCGAAAGTCCCGATACGAAGTCCATGGTTTACCGATGCCACCGTGCTTGGCTGGCTCGTCATCAGATGACCACAGCAAATTTAGAATGGCAGCCCAATCCAACCAATATCCCGTCGGAATAACTCTCTGCACCATCCGATAGCCAAACTGGCTAACCGTTCGTGAAGATCCATCAGTAGTCAGTACATCCCTAGTGGGTCCTGACCTTTGCCTTTCACGGCTGCCCGGATATAGGCTTTAGGATACATTGTTTTCCTAATCCTTCCAAGTGCGGCCCGCTATCGGGCTCGGACATACAATAGGGGCGTTAGTTATCTAGTCTACATCCTATCGGCAGTTAAATAGTATTAGCCAACCCAACTCAAAATCCAACTAATGACTTCCACACTCCAACAGTCCCCGGCCAAAACCCAACCAATCTAACCATGGACAAACTTCCTCCCCGCATCGAGGCCTTCCTGGGGCGTCTCTTGCGCAACAAACGAGGCCGCGACGCAAAACTACTCACGCGCATCAGTCCTGCTCTTCAGGCGCTTCAACCCACCATCGCGGTAACTTCGTCCGTGGGCCCATCGCAGTCTCCACTACCGGCAGAATACACTCAGATTGGCGCGAACCGCTTCCCACCTCTTTCCTGGACGGTACCCAGCGACTCGGTGCCTGCAGAGGAAATCAACAGCTACGTGCTCATTGTCGAGGATGCCGATGCACCACTGCCGAATCCAATAGTGCATGGGCTATACTACGGGCTTTCAAAGGACAAAACCAATATCTCTTCAGATGATGTTGTTGTGACGGACGCGACTAAGAGGGCATTACAGGGGGAGTTTCAGTATGGGGTAAACTGGCACCAGAATGTTTGGAGTGGGCCGCGACCGGTATTGGGACATGGCTCGCATCGGTATTTCTTTCAGGTGTTGGCGTTGGGAAAGGCACTGGAGGAGAAGCCTTGGGGGAAGGAGGAATTGTTACAGTGGCTGGAGAAGGAGAAGGAGAGTGTGTTGGCTTGGGGGGAGTGGGTGGGCACTTTTGTGCGGGAGCCTTAATAATCGATGGCATGTGGAATGGGATGATGAACTATGAAACTTTGCAAGTTTAGTGGAATGCTTAATTCTAATTCTAATTTATTCAATCATACAAATTTATGCTTGCTGACAGGTGGATCATTTTCGGGTAGGGATAGTCAGGTGATCTGATCATCAGCTCGACTTCATCAGTAGCATTCCACTCCCTAGGTCCCCCTTTGTTCTTCACCCCTGCGGCCATGTATCTACCCGACAGCTGTAACAACCATTTCGAATCCATCGGATGATTCGATCATGTTGTGTTGCATTATATCCCCAAGCGATCGTCCAATGTGCCGATGAGGGCCTCACTACCCGTGCGCCACACCCAACGCTAGTAGAACCTTGCTGATCGTGTAATAGCTGGGTGGAAATATACAGCCCGCATCATGATCCTCCGGCACTGTACGACATGACTAGAAGCCGACCCAGCGGCTGCTCGCAGCGGCAATTTGTGCGCGTGCAGTCCGGGAACGAAAGATAGATTTTATTCTCCTGGCAGCCGTTAGAGAACCTCACTGGGATCTACCCCTGATGCGGTACAGACTTGAGAGGCAATGTCCTCCAAAAAGTCCCTCACGGCTTGCTTCTGAGTGCTTCAATTTGCTCGTGCTGAGGTTCTAGGCGTAGGAAAATTCTCGACTAAACTTTGTCAGTGATGATGGCTACGCTTTACTGGCCGTCTCGAGTGGGATTAAACATCCGCTGGGAGGCATCCTGCTCAATGTATCATGGGCCCGGTCGTAATCGTGGCGTATCTATGCCTCTCTTAGACGGGACGTTGCCTAGGAGGGAACGATATCACTTGGCAACGTGCATAATAATCTAGGAGGTTAGGCTTCGAGAACACAGCGCACTACTCTGTACAAATGATCAAGTTCTGCACACAAAGCGGGGTGGATGCTCCATGGCTAGTTGGCAGGAGTGCTCTCTAACTTCTGCATACCTTTTAAGTGAGGCCGCTCAAAGTACTTGTAAAAAATTTTTCTCCCTTGAAAATGCGTGTTTCGTCAGACTCGAGTCTCTCATCTACAATACAATGATCCAGAGAGATGAAAAACAGCAATCTGCTTTCGGTAGCAGTAGTCCCCTCGAAACCATAGAGAGAAGCCCGGACGTTGGAAGCACCACCTCTGATGCCATCGTTGTTGTGAGTACTGCATTTCCTCCGTCAAAATAACCATCCAAGGGATTTCCAACTAACACCTGACAGGACTGGAATGGACCAGACGACCCAGAGTGTCCTCGAAACTGGCCAAGGAGCCGGAAATGGCTCAACGTGCTTCTGATCTCTCTTCAAGGGACCCTATCCCCGATCGCTTCAACAATCCTAACTCTAGGTGTATTCGACATCGCAACCGAGTTCCATTTAACGAGCCCGTATACCCCAGCCCTCCCCATCGCCTTCTACCTCGTGGGTCTCGCACTAGGGCCTCTAGGCGTGGCACCATGCTCGGAAATATATGGCCGTCGCCCAATCTACACCATTTGCTTTGCCATCTTCACTCTGCTCAACATTGGCTGTGCATTGGTATATAACATGGCTGGACTGGTTGTTCTACGCTTTCTAGCGGGTGTGGCTGGCTCCGCAGGGCCCAGCCTTGGCGGCAGCAGCATCGGGGATCTGTTTTCGCATGAGGAACGAGGCAAAGCTCAAGCGGTGTATGGCCTGGGACCTATATGTGGTCCGGTTCTCGGAGGTGTTATTGGTGGGTTTATTGCGTACGGCACCCATGGCTGGCGATGGATGATGTGGGTGGTCGCTATAGCTGCTGGTGTCGTTACCAGCCTCGCTGTTCTCTTCCAGAAGGAAACTTATGCGCCGGTCTTGCTGCAACGTCGGAAGAGAGCCCTGGAAAATGCGAACCCAGGGGTCACGTACCGGGTTGAAGTGGGCTCACACGCATCTCAGGTCTTCCGACAGTCTATTCTGCGTCCTCTTCGACTCCTCCTCTTTTCACCGATATGCACGTTCATGAGTCTCTACCTAGCATTGTACGTGACTGGAAACCCACACTGAGCGGCTGGCAAGTACTAATTAAAAATTTCAGAGTATTTGGCCTCCTCTACCTCCACATGGTAACTATCACCCTCCTCTTCGCCTCTCAACCCAAATACAACCTCCACAGCTACAAATGGACACACGGAACCACAGGTCTAGCCTTCCTCGGCGCCGGCCTCGGCGCATTCGCCGGCGTCGCCTTCTGCATGAAATACTCCAACCCATCATACCGATACTTCGCTGCCCGCTACGAGCAGAAAACCGGAAAGGCGACGCGCATGCCTGAATTCCGTCTACCGTTTATGCAAGTCGGCATGCTGATCGTGCCCATTGGTCTACTGATTTTTGGATGGACTGCAGAATATCATGTCCATTGGATTGTGACGCTCGTGGGCGCTGCTATTCTGGGATTGGGCATGGTCACGGCGTATATCTGTGTGCAGTCGTATCTGGTCGATGCGTTTGAGGAGTATGCGGCTAGTGCGCTTGCTGCTGCGGTGGTGGCGAGGTTTATTGTTGCGGCGGTGTTTTCGGTTGTTGGGTTTCAGCTGTATCGAAGGTTGGGGTATGGGTGGTATGTATAGGCTGCATGAATCCGTTGATTTGGAGTTGCTAATGGTTTCTCGTCTAGGGGATCGACGCTTTTGGCGTTCATTTGTCTGGTGGCTGTTCCGATCCCGTTTCTGTTGGGTCGGTATGGACCTAGATTGCGTCGGATGGGGACTGAGATGGTTTAAATAGCGACGTCTGTTGAATGGCTTTGTATTAGCGGAAGGGATTTCAGCCCAGAGCTTTGGGCCACTCGGCAGATTGGATCTACAACATACCACGGGAGGTAGACCAGGATCTGTAGGGTAGGGTAGCAGGATGTAGAACCCGAGATCGAGTGTATGAACATGGGGAAAATTCAAGAAAACCCCTTGAACTTGTAGCATTAAAAGTGTCTATACTCAGTAGCGGTTATTTGAACAGATTGGTAAACCTTTCATGCCTTCAGTGTATGCCACCATTCCGCATTAGGCAAGCGTGAGGGGTCAAATACAGACAGTCAGACACAGCCTCACGATCACGACTCCTCTCCACTCTGAGAGCCACCCCCATCATCTTGCTCTGATAACATCTGTAGCGGATCCCACTGCTTCTACCCCAAAATTACTTCAACCCAAACATGTCTCCCACTCAATTCCGTCTAATATTCAACGTCCCCCCCACCGGCCTTGCGGCCTGCAAAGCCGCCATATTTGCTGCCGGGGCTGGCCGCTACCCCGGTGGGAAGTATACCGAGTGTTGCTGGACCACTGCTGGAACGGGCCAATTCCGCCCAGGTGATGCTGCTAACCCCCATATTGGGACTGTGGGGGCCTTGGAGGAGACCCCGGAGGTCCGGGTTGAGACGATCTGTGTGGGAGAGGATGTTGCACGGCGGGCTGTGGAGGCGTTGAAGAGGTATGCTAAAGTTCGCTGATGTGAAAGTGAAGATGATTGGATATTGACTGGTTGAGTAGGGCTCATCCATATGAGCAGCCGTCGTATAGTGTTTTCCGAATGGAGGATTTTTGATCATTAGTATTGGAAGTGTGAGTTATGTAATGGTGCGGCTTAGAAGGGTGGAAGCGAGTATTTGAATCCAGTTTATATAATTGCTCACCATCTTGTCACCTTCTGAAATCTTTGCGTCGGACCTCTTTGGCTGTCGAAAAATATGCGATGATTCACTTCCTTGCTTGATGGTAAATCTCAATCCCCAGATAGTATTGTAATATCTTATCTCCATCCAGATCTTTTGTCTACTTCAACCAGCAACTCAACGGCTTTACAGTGACGTAGAGGCATACAAAACTAAGGCTATCGGAGCCAGTGGCACGACTTCAATGGATCGGGATAATGTCAAGGACAATTGGCCGGCCAATTTCCTAAGGTACTAAGTAACATTGTGCCTGTCCTTGGTAGGCCTGAATGTACATCGAGCAACAAAGTCCACCATAGCTTCTCTACCACTCGGCTTGACCGGAATCTCTGTATGCAGAGCTCCGAGAACATGTTTCCGAGAGATATCCAAACCAAGACGTCTGCCCTCTCGTTCCAAATTATCTGCCGCATGCGGGGGAATGACCTCGTCTTTCTCGGCAGACAATATTAGGACTGGTGGCAATACAGCTTTGTCACCATCGCCATCCGCACTTTGATCATTTATATTCTTGGGATTGTCTCTCCACCGTGCCATCCGCTCCATAGCCAGGATACTATCCCAATGGCTCCGCAAAAACGGCCACAGATATCGATACGGCAACCATTTCTGAGGATATAGGCTGATCAACATATCCTTGACACTGGATGAAGGTGCCTCAAGGATAACACCAGCAATAGAAGCCGGCTCTTGAGAATCTGCAGTGTGCGACCGAGGAAGATACGTAGCGAGGCCGGTGGTCGCAATCGCCGTTCCTAAACTATGCCCCCACAGAATGACCTGCAAATCTGTGTCCGGGGCAGCATATGTCTCTGTAACCCAGTCGAGGAAAGCTTGAGTGTCAAGTTCAATACCGTGTTGGGTAGGACGACCAGATGATGTCCAGAAGCCACGATAGGAGAGAGCCACCGCCACGTAGTCCTTCCCTTCAGATGCTGGAGCAGAAGATTTTGGAGAGGCGTGGATTGCGCGCAGGAACTGCGATAGAAGGGGCAATCTCATGGGAGTCGAGCCGCCGTTGCCCTGGAAGTAGCAAATCACCACTAATTTCCTCTTACTGTGATTCTTCGACTCTTGGATGCTTCCAGGCGAGGTGGCTTTGACAGGAATGCGACCTTCGCATATTGCTAGTTTTGTTCCATCACGGCTCCGAATTTGGTGTGTTTGCCAGCGCACTGGCCTACATTGATCCTCGTAGTCGGAGACCGTTTCAGATCGTGCAAATGGTGGCAGCCAGGTGAGATAGAGTAGCTTCTCTTGCATGACTACAATCCAGAAGCATTTCCAAGTCCATAGAGAAAGAAGCAGTCCCGTGAAGATGACGGGAGGAATCAGGATTGGTGGTAAAGATTCGGTAAAAAGAGTACGTAATTGAGAACAGCTACTTGAGTATAGGGGTTGGTACATATGATGGTAGGGTGTAGGTCGTCTTCGTGCTGTCCGAACATCAGGGTAGACAGTTTGAAACGGGACCGATGGGGGTCGCAGGCTCCGAGCTTTTCCGATAAGAGATGGCGGTCCGACAAGATCGGGAGGTACGCGTTGAGCGCACCGCCAGATGAGTCTGGTCGGCATCAAAGGTTGGGTTGGATGCGAGATAGGAAAAGAGAAATAGCGTCGCGGAAGACAGAAACAATGGAGGAGTCAAGAGGAAGATTGGATTTGAGACGGGGATCCGGGGCAAGTTGTGCATTGACATAGATGACTCAGCATTACACAAGACAGGCTTGCTTAGTTAAAATCATATTGGTTCCCTACAATGGTAGATTTCTACGCTCCTGTGCTTGGTCTCTACTGTCCTAAAATTTATATGTCGAGAAAGCAATAGAGGGTTCATTTAATTTGTATCTTAAGGCTTTGTTAAGCATCCGACTGGTGAATCTCAGTATCATGGAAGCTGAATCAAACAAATTTGGCACAGCCCCGACCTGCACAATTAAAACAAAACAAATGGATTAAGAGACCAGGTTCCTGGTTATACTAGACAGGACTGACACCCTTGATAGGATGCATCATATGTTTTAGAGCGAGATCAATCAGCATATCCTGCCGAATGATGCGCAATTGCTTTCGTCTTCTGAACGATATGTCTGCAACAGTAGCCTTTTTCTGGGGTTTCATTTCAGAAGAGGTCCTATCCGAGTCCTCCGTGGAATCCTCATCCTCAAAGTTCTCCAATTCAAGAATGTTTCCCGGGAAGAAGCCTGGGGGGACGCCCTCTCCTGGAAAACACACTCTCCGCATGGCCTCTTCCGGGAACAATCCTCTAGGGAATGCCTCTCCTGGGATGTCCCTGTCGCGGCAACCTTCCGGGTCCAATTGTGGCACAGATAGACCCCGAACGTATCCAACAGTAAGACGCACCATCACCCACCAAAGCTGAAATTCAGTCTTGAAGCTGTCAAACTTCCAGAGGCTATATTCTGGAAAAGAGTACAAGGCGTCCCAGAACCGCCCTTGGTCTCCACAGAGTTCCATGTCCCGGTGGTACTCTAGAAGCCATTCGTTGACTTCAGCTGACACCCATGTCTCGACAAGACGGGCAGGACGGAGGATCATAACCTCAGGAAGTGACTTGGGGTATCTTCCACAGGTGTATTTCTCACCTTCCTTGTCACAGACACACTCAGTAGAATTGACCTTATCATTATCGCGACACGCCCGACGATGCTCCTCGCACGCGAAGGGCAGCCGCTCATCACTTGCCAAGAGATAGTCTAGATCATCGGACTCAGGCGGGCTGACGGGTATGCTAGAAAGCCGAGGCAGCCACTTTTCCCTTTTGTAGAGACTGATATGCCCAATTTCAGGGTGCTTTTCCCCATCCTGGAATCTCTCAATGTGGAATAGGTCATTGGGCTTTGGGACCCTGAACCGGAAGCTGGGCTGCGAATAACAGCAGGTACCTTCGTCTTTACATTGACGTGACAGCCCTGCTGTCTCTAGGACCTCTCGCGACTTTTTGAGATAATTGCCGTCAATGGCAAAACTGACAGTCTTAAGGTCAAATTAGTGTGGTTATCCATTCGAGGGATCCGGAATGACTTACCTCAATTCCACCACGGATCCCGAGAACTCGATGATACGCCGGACCGATTAAGATGCAAGGTACGTTACTGTCCTTGAGCAGCTTAGCTACTTCAGCAATGAACTTGGGTTCGTTGCCCACCTCCCACTGAGGAAGTTGAGACTTGTCAGTGTGTGCGCTTGTTGCCATTTTCGAAGAAGTGGACCCTCATACAGTTGAAGATGCACAATTCCAAGATGAGAACAACAGCGAATCTAGGGTCCTTTATAGACTCTGAAAGAAAGAAAGTCAGGATAATTCCGTGGTCACTTGATAAATATCCAGTCCTGATCGAGGCAGTAGCTGAATGTTCCGGTGGGATGTTAGGTTGATCTACCAGGGTTACCCGGGGAGCTCCGACCTGGCTTAACTGTAGTCGAAGAGGGCCCATGATATTGCTAGACGGGACATCAAGCAGCTAGGTTGCTATCATCGGGATGTTCTTTCTTCAGCAAAGGTGCCTTTCGCAATGACCAACTGGGTATATTTGGATCATTCATCAGACAAGATATAAGGTAAAACAACTGTCTATGAGGTCTGGATAAAGATTCAATCATCTAATAGGGAGTAGTTTCTCTTTATCAGGAACAGATCTTTCGATTACTGTTTACAAAGATCCCAGTCTTTCGGGTAATCGACGATGATGACTAGAGACCGACATGGGGAGCGCGGAAGGATGCCTCATATGGGGAAACCAACCAGCTATATTGGGTAATATTCCTCCGGCACAGTGAGTATGCATCTGGCTAGCACTCCGGAAGCCATCTCAACAATGCTAGCGATGAAGGTAGAAATACAAAACATCAGCTTGAGAATCCACAGAAAGACAATTTTCAAAGTAACTTATATCAATTTTCAGTGCCAACTCAGCAATCTTCTCATCAAATATCCAGGACAGTTGCTTGGGTTGGAAATAGGTCTGTCTTAACAATAGGCGCCCATTCAATGCGACACAGGCATTCGTAGTAGCTTAGTTCCCAGATAGGCGCCTATCTGTGAATTTACTCCAGATTGATGGATGTCGGCATATTCAAGTCTTCGAATACATATTTTGTCTGATCAGACAATCGTCAATTAAATTCAAACAAGACCGGTTCACTCGTCAATAGATGCGGTCTTCAGTAATATGTCTAGAATTATGACGTCAAAATGGCACAGCAGTGCGGATACTGCGGGTATGGCGGGAGGGACCCGATTGACTGGTGCCTTGTTTATCGGGTGTCTCTCGCAATTTGGCTGGTGGAGAGGAAAGAAAGAAAGCGGGGAAGACGTCGATCAATCCGTTGGACCGTGGAGCAGCATTCCTTTACAAGCAGCCACATACCACCTTCAACAGGGAATTCGCTATACCGATAACCGTTCAACTTGGATTAGATCTACTGGAAGCCACCCTGAAGTTTTGAACTGCGCGTTCACCCATCGCCGTCATTATGGATCAAAGGCCAACATTCAAATCAACCTACCCTTGGACAAAAGCACCAGTGATAGCACAAGCTCCTATGCTCAACATCGCCGGCCCAGAGCTAGCCACCGCAGTATCCGCAGCTGGTGGTATAGGATTTATTGCTGGTGGAAATGATGTGTCAAACTTGGAAGACAAGTTGCAGAAAGCCGAACAGCTCGTGAAAGAGTACCAGGCAGCGGAAGGCTCTCACGACCAGAACCGTCTCCAGTTGTATGACGGCCCGAATTTACCGGTCGGTGTCGGGTTCCTGAGCTGGGGAGCCGATCTCAATAAGGCACTGCCACTTATCGTCAGATATCGTCCATGTGCTGTGTGGCTGTTTGCGCCACCTAACAGTGCTGCAGATCAGGTTCCTTGGGTGGAGGGGATCCGGACCCAAACTGGCGGCAGTGTGGCTATTTGGGTACAGGTGGGGAGTGTGGAGGATGCAATTGACGCTGTAGCCAAGCTGCAGCCTGACGTCCTCGTCGTGCAGGGCAGTGATGGCGGGGGTCACGGATTGCAGCACTCTGCTAGTATCGTGTCTTTGGTGCCAGAAATCATTGATCATCTGGATGCCAAGGCTCCCATCAATGCGAATGGTTCATTGAAACCAAGAGTTGTTGCAGCAGGTGGCCTGGTAGATGGTCGAGGAGTGGCAGCCGCTCTTACCTTAGGTGCTGAGGCGGTAGTGATGGGAACTCGGTTCCTGGCCTCTCTTGAAGTTCCCATACCGAAAGGATACCAGCAAGCTATCATCGAGGCTAGTGATGGGGGGATCCATACAATTCGCTCCGCTGTCTATGACCGGGTACGTGGGTTCCTGTCGTGGCCACCCAAATATTCCCCTAGGGGGGTTATGAATCAAACGCACACAGACTTTGTGGCTGGTAAGGTGACTGAGCAGCAAAATTACGAACTGTACCAACAGGCTCTGAAGAAGGGGAACTCAGGTTACGGACCTAATGGGCGACTAGCTACGTTTGCAGGCACTGCGGTTGGCTTGGTAAAAGAAATTTTACCGGCAGGGGACATAGTTCGGAGGACTAGGAAGGAGACAGAATCTATTATCAAGATAGATAGGCCTGCAAAGCTGTAAAATATACTATAAAATACAAACTTCTGGGTGGTAGCACCATCTTTGGGCCGTTGTAAATGGGCAGGACGCTACATATAAGGCCAATATCTCGGGATAAGTCCTAGCTTGGCCGTTACCCACATTTCCAGGAGAATACTATACGTAAAAACCCTCAATCAGAATAGGATAGTTTGATAAGACTACCGCATGAATAAAGATGCGGAATCAAGGACCTACAGATTCAGCATTGGCGCATATCAGCTTTGATATGTACGATGCCATTCTGATTTACAGAGGGTGATATTCAAGACTGATTAGTGATCCTATACTCATGTTTTTCTATTGGCGAGAATTATGGAATTTCAATAATGGTAGGCCAAGCAATAAGAATGAAGATAAGCATTTAATTGAAAAGGCCCGCCAAGAAAGCCAAGAGGAGTTCATTGCGCAAGCGCTTCCCTAACTTTACCGCTGGTGTTGAGAAGAAAAGTCCAGACTAGACCATTGGTCTTCTTATTTTTTAATTGCGACGTGCACACTAATGATCAGCTCCCACCAATCCCTGACTCTCTGCAATCTGCATAGTGGATAATCGTCCTGCTAGAGGAAAGGTAAAATGCGCTCGGACACTTGATCAGGTCAATAAAGGTGGAGAATTGCGGAACAAGGGCACAGACCAACGGAAGTGCCTAAGGGCAGTTCTGGTCGGACATGGGCTGGTAAGATGTCTTCCAGCTGCGAGACAACCCCTCGGCTCAGTCGTCGGAGCGACCGTAAACTAATGCGCCAGCAAGGATCAGATTCTGCGTTTCACTGTTGTGTGCCGCGTACACCCTGCAGCCAATATGCTTGGTGCAGGGCCGGGTGGCGGGCCGTTTCTTGCTAGGGCACCCACTAATGTGAAGCTAAGTTGACTCCCAGGATGTTGATAAGGTGAGGGGAACTCGGCCACCGTGATTTTCCTGCGCCGTATCTTTTGCGGAATCTATCTTTCGATCTCGCTCGTGTGTTTCTTTTCTAGTGGTCCCATTGTTTCTTTCCCTGGCTTCAGGCTCCCCTAAGAGTGCAGGATGGTCTCCACACATAGCACGCAGCAGGATGCTGCCAAGGATCCCGCTCTTACTGGCTCGCACACCCTAGAAGCCGATGCATCAAGTCAGGAGGATGACATCAAAGGTACACGCTACGACGTGACGGAAATGGATCGGATGGGAAAGACCCAGCAATTCAAGGTAAAAATTTGGCGCCCAGGTAATCACACCCGACTAATGATGGGATCGCAGCGAAATATCCAGTCTTTTGCAGCCCTCAGTTTTTCGGCCGTATTGCAGTCTACGTGGGAATACATCATGCTGTATGGCGACCGGTAATCTCTTACTCAGCTCAGGATCTAAGTGTTCGCAGGTCGGACTATGAAGGGTTACAAGATGGCGGGTTGGCAGGCATGCTGTGGACCTACGTCTGGAGTGCCATTGGATTTGGGTTCATCATTGTCTCTATATCTGAGATGGCCTCGATGTAAATTGCCTCGCCTTCACACGTACGATCACATCAGCTAACCGTCTAGGGCGCCTACGTCTGGAGGCCAATACCACTGGGTCTCCGAGTTTGCGTCCCCACGCTACCAGAAATTCCTCAGCTACGTGACCGGGTGGATGTCTGTTCTGGCATGGCAGGCAGGGACTGCATCGGGATCATTCTTAACTGGAACCATCATCCAGGGCCTGATTAGCGTCCGTGACCCCGACTACGACCCCACCGGATGGCAAGGCACATTGTTTGTGTTTGCGATGATCCTCATTGCGTTCTTCTTCAACATATACGGTGCGACATTCATGGCACGGATGCAAAATGTGCTTTTGGCAACTCACATTTTTTGCTGGTTGGTCGTGGTGGTAACACTTTGGGTTCTGGCTCCGCTACAGCCCGCCGAAGCAGTGTTCACAAAATTCGAGAACTTCGGTGGATGGTCATCTATGGGTCTTACTGTGATGGTTGGCCAGCTTGCCGCCATTTATGGCTGTCTCAGTAGGTATACTCGCAACTAGTTCAAAGATTAGCACTGACATGTACAGGCTGCGACGCAACGGCCCACATGTCGGAGGAAATCAAAGATGCAGGCCGATACGTGCCCATCGCCATCACCTGGTCTTACTTTGCCAACGCTATCCTCGCATTAGTTGTGCTTATCACGATGCTCTTTGCAACGCCATCCGTGGAAGACTCACTCAATGACGACACCGGCTTCCCCTTCATTTACGTCTTCAAACAGGCCACCAACACAGCAGGTGTCAACGGCCTAACAGCGATCATTCTCATCCCCGTCATCATAAGCAACATTCTCTTCAACGCCTCGACAGCACGACAGACCTTCTCCTTCGCTCGCGACCGTGGACTCCCATTCTCAAACTGGATCGCTAAAGTCGACGAAAAACGTAAACTACCAGTTAACTCCATCATCCTGAGCTGCATTATCAGCGCGCTACTGGCCCTGATTAATATCGGCTCCGAGACCGCCTTTAACGCCATCGTCTCCCTCAACGTAGCAGCTCTTATGTTCTCATACTCCATCTCAATGAGCTGTCTGATATGGAGAAAGCTTTTCCACCCGCACACACTTCCCCCTGCGCGCTGGGGTCTGGGACGATATGGTCTGACGGTCAACATCATCGGCTTGTTATATGTACTGTTTGCCCTGTTCTGGTCGTTTTGGCCTGAGTCGACACCTGTCACAACTGAAACGTTCAATTGGAGTGTGGTGATCTTCGTGGCGGTGTTTTTACTGAGTCTTGTTATGTATGTGGTTCAGGGAAGACATCAATATGATGGACCCGTGACGGAGGTGAAGAGATGTGGGGATTTATAAATGTCTGAGATTTACATAGAGGTGGCGCAAAATTGTATATCAGATAGTATAATACAATGGTCCCCGGAAAAAAGAAAGAGACACATCTAAGTATTAAGCGGGCATGAAGTAGAATCTAGCGGCAGAGTCCGCATTTTGTCCAATTTACTTTCCTCGAATAACATTCTGGAGAACATGTGTCGAGCGCTGTGCACACTTGGACAGTCGGTTGTCAGAACATATTCTTGTTCGCAATAATACGAGATAGATAAACACCATCTGTTTCAGATCCCTTACATGAGGACGAAGAAGACCAGAATAATTAGATAGCTTATGCACTTAAGGCTACCTTAAAAGAATTTTGGTTCCAGCCATACCGCCGCCCCAGGCGTCTCCCGAGAATGAGAAGACGATATCCCTCAATATGAGACTTACGGGGCCGGTGCAAAGTGATCGCTTTCTGGGCAGCATATTCCTGAGGCGGGGAGAAAGTGTAGACGGAACCGAATCTTGGGATCACGGAGAATCCGAGGTCAACCATGGCAGCTTTGAAATCCGACCAGGCAATCGACCCTCTGGAATCGGATTTGGAGAAAATGGTCGAGAAGGAAACTTAAAAGGTGCTAGGCACGACCTTCAAGATCGGGGCTTCAGGGGCATCGTCCTTCTCCGGAGCCTCGGTAGTCGGGGTAATGTTATAGATAGAGGAATGTGCCGGTCGGGTCTTGACTTTTTGACGTCGCTCTGTAATCTGTAGCTCGGAACTTGAGGGTTCGGGAATTGACAGGCCAGGCGCAACAGCAGCAGCGGATTGCTCTTTATCTCTTTGTTGTTCATATTGGTTCTTGATTTCAAACAGACAGCTCTCGTTGAGATCCTGGTACAGGAAGCCTATGTCCGCCCCAGTCTTCTCAATGACGAGTTGGCCTAAAGTAGCGAGAGCGCCTTGGGCCATTCCTGGTTGGCGTAGGTCGTCAATTGGGATTGCATAGCCGGACAGGTCAATCTCCCTTCTCAAAGGTTCGAGCTCAGCGTCCAGATTTCCGAATTTTGACAGGTACATTTGCCCCTTTTTGGTTGTCGCGGGCGGCAGTGCCAAAGAAGCAGAAACAGACTGAGCAAAGGCAGCAGTTACCGCCAGATCGCTGAAAGCATCATACTCAAGCTCGGTTGTCTGTTCCATTTCGACCGGTTCGGTTCTTTGGAGGCCATGAAGCTTCTTGACCCAGTCCACTGCCTTTGGTGGGGTTGTCTCAGTTTGGCACAGGCGAAGCATATAATGGTGTCGCGGATTCGAGCGAGTCAAGGTGTCTGGTTTGGTCTTCATCGTCACCCGTGCTACGCCATTGCCATAGACACCAGGGACTCGTTTGAAGTGTCCTGATCCTGATCCCACCTGGACGTAACGCTTGAACCGCGATTGAACCCGCTTGTATTCGAAGGACATCACATTGGCTAGTTCCTGCAGTAGGAGGATTTTGTACGCTCGATCGGTTGGCCTTTCCATGAGGCTCTGTAGAAGATGGTAGATGAACCCCCAAATAGCAGCCCCAGCCACTACATTGTAGACTGCTTCAACAACGCAGATGGAGATGTACTTATCAGTCGTCAGAGGCAGCATCCGTCCACGATCGTCGGGTACAGGCTCGAGACGACTGTAAAAACAGAAGTTTACCACATGGACTAGGAATCCTGGCTCAGTTCGGCAAAGGTAAAGATAATCTTTAAGTGCAGTCTTTTGATCCCAAGCGCGAGCGGCCAAATCGAAGGATGCACTCGAGTCTTCAAAGCAGTGTAGTTGGGAAGACCAAGGGTAGCTAGCTGGCCTCAGTCCTTCTGAAAGGCTAGAGCACTAATGCCTTTCAAGAACCTACTAGTATATCTGTGGGACTTGCAAGGCATAAAGTATTGTCCATTCGGATGTGGAACGAGAGGACGTACGTCCAAATTGGTGGCATTTTCGGGAAGCTAGCAAATCCCAACCCGTGCTACCAGCACAATATTACGAAATCGGAAATCATCTAGCGAAGACTCAGTTGGTTTAGTTAATATATACATCACTTGGCCAATCTGACCGTTGACGCGACGAAGTTCAGCACATATTGTTCTGTTCTCCTCTACTGTCGCTAGCTCTTTCCAACAAGTCATTCTCAAAGGGCGGCCTAAATGATGCAATACGGATGCTTACCAAATAGGCCTCATGCATCGAGCCAGCATGGTACTAGACGCCAGGAGCGCCAAGCCTTGCATCGATCAAAGCCTGCACTCGATTGATTCGGGAAGTGCTACTTTTCAGGTGGACCAATATGTGCAGATCCAAAGTGTCCGCCCTAATACAGCAAATCTATGACGAGGGCATGTCTTGAGAGGAAATTGCCGCCCCCCCTACCTTCTTATTTTACAAAAGCGCCTAAATGGTCCTGAAAAAAATAGAGACCTTGGACTAGTCAAGGGAGTATCTCTTAGAAGGCAAAGAGAAGAGAAAAAACAGGGTTAGATCATTCTGGTTGTAAAGCGACAGATGAACTAGTGCGATGCGGGCCTCCAGCCCTACTGGTCGGAAGAGAAGCCATCTATCCTCCAGGCTCTCACTCTTCATTTCCTGGTAAGATAAAAGTATAACACCCCGACATCGTCTTGTTTTAGAGACCACTGAGCACCAGCAATAGTGTTGTCTTTTACCGAAGACAATCGACCACGGGGCAGTCACCATAGATCATGGCAGCAGAACTAACACCTCGGTAGGTCATTTCGGCCAACTCCAGTCAGACATTAGTAGCTCCAACATTATGATGCCGGGAAGCGAACACGATTCTATACGAAAGACCTACAAACATGTTTCCCCATCCAGGGAGATGCTTCTTTTCCCCACCCACTAACGAGTATTTACCCACAGATGTACGGGAACGGAAAACTTTGAAGATGAGTAGCAATGCTGCTGCCTTTGAATCCGAAGGATGGCCAGTTGCCAAAAAATGGGCCTTCCATATTCCAAAGACAAACTAGGGGTTTACGGCTGAAAGAAAGTCGAAGAATTCTGCATTACTGTTGGATCCACGGGGGCTATGCACTTGGTCAAGGAATGAAAGAATTTACCCGTGGGCCTGTTGATCGCACTCATTATGCTCGTCATTTGATATATTTTATGAATCGAGACAATAAAACGAGAGCTTACGTTTTTGTCATAGTAGTCCTCTACTTGGCTGGTTAGGGAATGGCAGAAAGTGTATTCTCCTGATGTATACGAAATGCGTGCAGGACAAGTGTCAATGAAGCTAAGAAACCTCCCCTAAGATGATCAGCGCAGAGAGGGTGAGAGGCCTTCTATATACTACTAGAAGATGTATCCGTCACACTCCACACTGACCTTGTGTCTCAAGACGAATGGTGTACAGCATATGCCTCGAAATCGGGCAGTACGTAGATGCATACTGTTCCACCGAGAACTGCGGCCCTCGGCAGCTCTCGCTATTGGTCAGGAAGAAATTGCCGATTGGGCTGCATATCAAGAATTCCAACATAATATAGAGCCCAATGAGAGTAGCGATCTGGTATCTTGCCTCAGTGCACATATCTGATGTGGAGGCCTGACGGTCATGCGCACATTGATTTACCCCAAACGAGAAAGGCTGCATCATTCACTGTTCAAAGCTGCAGATGACTTCTCTGAACGTTCATTGATAAAACTTAGTTTGTTCCCCGATTATTACATCATAACGCGCAATACTAGTTCTTTTGGGGGTAATGATGTGAAGATTTTCACCACCTCTCGACAAATGGGAAGAATCTGCAAGGTCAACAGGCTGTCGGCATTCAGGGCTCCACTGATAAAGCCAAGGATTTTTCCCCATTTGGAACACCACCATCAGCATATGAGCCTTCGCGCAAATGGCTAACTATCGTCTAAAACTCGTCCTTACGAAGTCAACCGTTCCATTTGACTTTGACTAAGGTATGCAGAAATTGACGAAGACGGAAATCACACAAAACCTTGTTTTCTTCTTACATTAAGTGTTATACGTGGATTAGTATTTGGGCAGGCGGTAGGTGTAGAAGGTATATAAAGAGGTTCTATTGATTCCCTTGCCTGGTACTACGTAGCACAATAAGGATTATCCCGTAGCGGTTGTTTTGCACTACTTCAATTGGCACAATGCAGTCCCACCTTTCATCCAACTCGTCTACGCTTAACCTCCTCTCCTCCAAAATCTTCGAGCATCATTATGAGGATGGTCCTCGTATCGAAGAGCTAGAACGATCATATCACCGAGCCAGAGCAATCGGTCAACTACATGGTCAGTATATTGCATGGCCGTAACAGTAGATCTAACAACACCAGGCGTGACCCTCGAGGATTGCCTTCATATGACCCCCAAGTTCTGGGCCGTCCACAAAGATGGAATTATTGTTCGAGATGCCGTTGCCCACATATTGGTAACGATTCAACTTAATCTGGTGGCCGGTACAGTGGCACCTTTTGCCCTCAAGAGACCCGATCTCCATCCGCTGATGAAAGAGATATTGAACTTTGATATCTCGTAAGTACTCTCTCATGAGAAATTTTGCAAAACCATTGACACTGAATAGTGCACCGTTCATGCTGAATGAAGTCGGCCATGGCTGCGATTCCCGGAATCTGGAGACCACGGCAACCCTGCAGCGTGATGGCAGCTTCATCCTCAATACGCCTACACCTGAGGCAGTAAAGTACTAGTGACACAAAATCCATTCCCAACCTTACAAAATGCTAATAATACAGGTTTATGCCACCATCAATGCCAATAAAGGGCATTCGGCGAGTAGCCATTGTGTGTGCACGGTTGATAGTGGATGAAGAGGACCGTGGTATTCGGACCTTTGTCGTCCCGATAAACAATGGAATGGAGATGAACAAGGGTGTTCATTCATGGTAAGTATTGATATTATCTCATGTAACACGCTATGACTTAAAGAACCCGATCCAGGCTTCTCCCACCAATCAATGGAGGAAGGGTGCTCGACCATAGCTTGACCTCTTTCGACAATGTCCATCTTCCAGCAAATGCAATGTTGGGTGAACTCGCGATGCCTGCCGACATGCGCGCCCAGTATCTATCAGCCATACACCGTCTGGGTACCGGAGCCCTTGCTCTAAGCTTGTGGATCATTCCCTTTCTGAAATGTGCCGCATATTGCGTCGGCAAATACAGCCAACGCCGGACTGTCCAAGCAGGTGTGCACGGAGAACGCGTCCCTATTATTTCGTTCAGAACACAGCAGCTCCCAATCTTGCACTCCCTTGCACAGATCGCTGTCATGGAAACGTTTAGCGACTGGCTTACACACCTCTACAGCACAGACAAATCACTTCACCCTGGAGCAAAACATGGTCTGGGGGTCATCATCAAGGCGGTCTTCTTACAGAATGGGCAATGGAGTCTAGCAAACCTTATTGAGCGAAGTGGTGCACAAGGAGTATACCCGCATAACCAGATGGCCACGTTTGAGGTGAGTTGAATGATCCGTACACATCAAGTCTGGATAAAGACTCACATTGTAGGTTCTGACCCGGGCTACCGGAATTGCAGAGGGAGAGGTTTTGGTTCTCTCAATTCGTGCGTATCCCTATCTTTGCTTCTGAGCAAATGAAACATATCACTGACATCTGGTAGGCCTCGCCACTGAGCTTCTACTTGGTCGATATTCCATTCCCGGGCCCACAAAGCCTGACTGTCTACTTGCACAGCATGAGGCGGGCATCCTTTCCGAGCTGCGGAGAAAACTGAAGAAGATCGGCAACCACCGCAGTGACGAGTACAGCAAGCAAATACTTCCCCATCTTCGGCCTATGGTCATAGCGATCGGACAACGCATGGCGTATGAGGCTGCAGTTGAAGCATCCGTTGACCCTGATTTGCTGGCTCTATACGAGGCGGGAGCTATGAAATCAGATCCTGCCTGGTTTTCAGAGCATCTCGGGATTAGTAGGGACGCCCAGTTCCAGAAGGAGTGTGACGCGCTCGATGCGGTTTATCGCCGTCTGGATGAGCATCTTGATGACTTGCAGATTGAGCCCTACATCACGGCTCCAATGCTGTCCCCTGACAGATGGATGGGAATCATTAAGGCGGTCCCGGAGTTTACGGGAAATGGAGAGATGAGCTTTCCGGGAGCTCAGGAGTTTCAATCTAAGCTTTAGAGTGTGTCTTTGACTTTGAGGGTGATGCAATCAATAAGGTCAACTATTATTCATTTACCTGTATAATTGTCTTCTGCAAATGCATCGCGCAAGATACTGCTACTATAGTATTATTCTAATTGTGGCATAAATCGACACCCTTGACCACGCTTCTGCTTTGGGCAATGGACTTGCGGGCCTCGTAAAAATGCCCTTTTTGAAATATCATACCTCTAGTACAAGCTGCTCCGATTCCCTTGGAAATCAGGTAATAAACTCAATCGCACCAATCCAGTGGTAGCGTTTCCGGGATCATATGCCGTTAGCCGACCCTCCAAGACTTGATGATCGACCCTAGAATACGAGGCGTGTTTTCCATGTATGGAAGGATCTGGAATTTATCGAATCAACGTTGAGATGACGATCACTACTCCGTACATCTTGGCGTGTATTGCAGAAACCCATTGGATATCAATACACCAATGTAACTTTTCTTCACCCGGTTTGCATAACGGATCTCGGGATTGATACCACCGTCCTCACGTCAGCCATATGTAAAAATGGTCGATCGGTTCCTCTTATAGAAAGGATGGCCACAAATGATAAGATCAAAGAAATGTAGGAGGCTATTTCAAGGAATGTGGGGGCATGAGCACAATTTTTTAGCATCCCCTTGTTTCTTGGCACGGCAAGGAAAACTTTACAGTTTAGCCTTGATTCATGCATCTCGTACATTATTTGGTATAGCACTCAAAGCACTCAAATCAAAGCAGATGTATCCACAGTTTATAGTAACCTGGCACATGGCTTTCTCATATTACGGTAGCAGGATACAAGCACAGCCATCAAAATTTATTCCGCTTACCCAGTGTGGCAGCTGTCCCAAACATGCAATAATACACTCGCCTCTCATACTCTCCTCGTTCTTCCAACACCGCCTCATGTATTACCCCTTGAATACCCCCCAATCCCCTTCCGTCCAAGTAAGCTTCACCACCCAGTTCCTAAGTTTCCATAACCCATCACCGGTTACATCTTTATCAATATCACAGTAGTACAACCCCCCACCCAACAATCTCGACGTATCATGTACGTTTCCCTCCCCGGGGCGATAATGCTGCGCGAGCGCTGACGCCGTAACCTTGGCTCTGTTATCGTCTCCCTCGACCATGGTAACACGAATATTGCTGAGGATGTGGGTGGTATCCATCTTTGATATATTGTCGTAGGAGTCTTTGTGGATATTGGGCAGACTACTCATGACGGTAACATGAAGGTCGAAGGTTGAATCAGGGAACAAGGCAGAGTCGAAGAGTCGGCTGTCGGCTGTATCGAGGCCGAGGATGGCACGATTGAGGGCATTGATGATGTCTTCGCGGGTTTGAGGGCTAGAAGGGTTGTTGAGGGTAACAGGGATCGGTGTAGACATGGACATCTTGGTTGTTGCTGATCTATAGTATGAAATCGTGATAATGACGAGTCTCTAGAAGATGGCAGGGGGTGAGATGGAAGGCAGGTATTTACATGAAGGAGCCGTGGAATTAAGAGGTTTGCTATTCTGACTACGCACTCGGTGAGAAATCGGATGATATCTCGTAGTTAATCAAAGGCCGAGAGAAACAAAATTGTATGAGATTATCGAGGGTCGGTCAGGACTGTCAACTGCGCGTTATGTCCAGAGATCTATGTGACCTGACCAAGGACCGTGTAGGCATGAGGTATGACGTTAAGGTGCATTATTAAAGTGATACTCATTCCAAAGATACATTAAGCTTCGTCAGAGATGTGGCAACTCTAACTGGGTATTGAGAGGCTGCGCGCAAGGAAGCAAACCGTCACAGCTCACCTAATCAGAGTGCTTTACCTAGCATAGGTGGCTGCCTGAAAGGTAAAATAGGTACTTACACCGCTAACATTACTAACCTTCAATATATTGTACTAGACCAGCTGGTATTTTTTGCTCGCTGAAGAGGTAATTCTAAAATAGCCATCATCTCTGCAATTGATGGCCTTACCAGCAAGAGGCTCGACGGAAGGGCGCCGCGCGGGGCCGATGGAGCGTCGGAGATGGTCCGCTCCCCATGATGAGGGGTAAGACCGACTGCTAGTCCAAGACTAGCAGACTCCCGCTGATATCTCCATACAAGTTGCGATAAAAAGTGCTATAACCCAGTCCCAATTATCATTGCCTTCCATATCTACCGACTTCTTCAATTGGTTCTTCATAATGCTTCGACTCGACGGCAAAGTCGCGCTTATTACCGGCCTCGGCCAGACCACCGACGAGGGCTGGGGCATCGGCGCCGCCATCGCCATGAAGCTCTCCCAACAAGGTGCGATCATCTTCGGCGGCAACCGTTCATTATCCAGTGCCGAAAGAACCAAAGCCCGAATTGAGAAAGAGGGCGGAAAATGCGAAGTCCAAGAAACTAACGTCACTGATTCCACCTCCGTCAAGGCCCTCGTGGATAGTTGCATGCAACGCCACGGGCGCATCGACATCTTAATCAACAACGTGGGGAAATCAGAACCAGGTGGTCCCGCCGAATTGAGCGAGGAAACGTGGGATCAACAAGTCGATCTGAATCTGAAAAGTGTTTATCTGACGAGTCATTACGTGCTTCCTATCATGGAGAAGCAGGAGACGGGCGGTACAGTAATCAACGTGTCGAGTATTGCCGGGCTGCGGTATATCGGGAAGCCGCAGGTTGCATATTCGGCTACGAAAGCAGCCATTATGCAGTTTACAAAGGCCACTGCGGTGATATATGCTGGGAAGGGAGTGAGGTTGAATACGGTTGTTCCGGGGTTGATTTATACGCCGTATACTCGGGAGCTTGCGAAGCGGTATGCGCCTGGGGGTGATGAGGCGGCATATATGAAGACGCGCGATGAGCAGGTGCCAATGGGGCGCATGGGGAATGCTTGGGATGTGGCTAATGCTACGGTGTTTCTGGCATCGGATGAGGCACGGTATATCACTGGGCAGGAGCTGGTGGTGGATGGTGGTATTACTTCTTCTACAGGGAGAGTGTAAATAGTTATCATACTCCAAGTTCTCTGTTTGATTTAGCAGGCTAGTACGGCCCAAGCTGCACGTTGTATCTGTACGGGCTATGATGTGTGATTTGGAAAATAGATCGATCTTTGCGCATGCTCTTGTTAGCTCAACAAAAGATTGATGCTATATACATTATGTTTCCCCATAAAACCTGCCAGTCCCGTCTGTTGTCGAATCGTACCCTGAGCGGCATATCCCCGAAATGTACGGAAGACATCCGCTGATGGTTGAATAGCCGCGGGTCAACTTGACCCAATCCAGAATACACGAGCAGGAAGATTCATAGCTACATATCTTCATTGTTCTCTTTATAACTTCGAATATTCTTGTAAGAGCATATCTCTGTTTGTATTACTTATCCAGTCTCTACCATAGACTCTTCCCACAATGACTCTCGTCCATATCGGTATGTTAACACAACTATTACAGAGTCTATGATCTTCAACTAACCCACTACCAACCAGTCCTCTTTAGGTTCCGTCCCGAAGTAACCGAGGAGCACAAGCAACGCTTCGTGACAGAACTCAAAAAGCTCAAGAACCTACCCTGTGTGAAATTCGGACGCCTCCTCGTGGGCGGTCCCAGTGTGACCGACCCCATAGACCGCAGCAAGGGATTCCAGATCGCTCTAGTAAGCTACCATGAGAACCTGGCTGCACTAGCAGAATACCAGGCTAGTAAGGAGCATCATGAGTAAGTAGATGGATACTATGTCCGCTGGTCGAAATTGCCGGGGCTAACCTTGATATTGTGGCAGTGTAACATCGAAATATATGTTTCCGTACAAGGAGGACCTGGTGAGATTTGACTTTGAGGTTGACGAGGAGGATGAGTATATGTGTGATTTTCCGGTGTTGGGTTAGGGATGAATATTTTCGCAATTGAATGTTGAGGAGTTATTATATGTCTTGACAGAGTATGGGTTTTCAGTCATAAGTACTAGAGACTCAACTTCAATTATAATACTAGAGCCATCAGGTAGGAACGCCTACAAAAGAAGACATCTGTGATATAATGCTTGCTATAATGCTTCTTAGAAAAGTCTTACTTTACGGAGTGTATATTCTCATTTTCAGGAGCCAAGTCTACTGATAGATCAGCGAGGCACATATTGTCCGCCTGATATATCAGGCACTACTGACGTAGTCACATGATACGAGTGACGGAGGGACTCCGTTTGGCGGTCGGACACTCCCCGCGCCACACATTACCGTTTGGTAGCGTTGAGAAAGCAAGAGATATTTCTTCACCGGTCAGCTTGCATCGGTTCGCCAATCAGATCAATCATAACCTGGCAATTACATATCACCTTTTGAACTAGTTGTACCCCAGATTTACAGACCGCCAAGAAGGATGATCACGTGGCAAAGCGAGAAAGACGCGGCAACAACACCCCAGTCCATTCCATTTATCCAGTGATAGAGCCTCTGTTATCCCAAACCAGTCCTTTTGGTCCCCACTCGGATGGCCATATGCCAACATGGACTCACCGCGTCGAAATCGGAATAGAGCGGCGTGTAGGCGATGCCAACGAAGAAAGATTCGCGTAAGTAGCCAGATCATCCGCTCGTTGAATTGCGCTCACGGTGTCCCGCTTTGCAGTGTGATGGGAATGAGCCATCATGTAGCTCCTGCTTGAAGGCAGGGGTATCATGTGTGAATGATGGAAAACAGGAGGTCACGCGGAGATATATTTCGAACATGGAAAATCGGATCCGATGGCTCGAGTCGATTGTCAAGGAAAACTGCGCGAATGTGGATCTAGGACTTGAACCTCGCAATAACGTCCCAGATAACGCAGTAGATCATGATAGCACTATGCTCTCTGTCGATACACAGCACGAGGATGATCCGACCACTAATGTGCACCAATCCTCTCGGGAGTTTAGAAGAGAGGCCCAAGCCGTTTCATGCAATGAAGAGAATACCTTCAATTCACTGTCGGAACAGCATCCACAACATCATGTGCCGGGAAACAATTCTGGGCATCAACCGGCGCATGAGATTGGACTGGTGTCGTTGTCCTCTGGTGAAGGTCCTCGATACATTGGGCCATCCAGCGGGTACTTCTTTGCGAACCGTATATTCTCCAGCGCTGGGCGGCGATCTAAAGCCAGAGGCGTCAAAAAGGCCACGGCGGAGTCAACTAGCCTTTCAAGTGAACTACTGAGTAACCTTACCCTGCTGCCAACTCGAAAAAAAAGCGCCATGGAACTGTCAAGGAAGTACTTCCGAACGGTACATCTAATCTACCCGTTCCTGCATGAGCCGACCCACATGTCTGTGATTGAGCGGGTATATGCATCCCACAACGAGAACCCCTTGGACTTGTTTCAGGTTTACATGGTGCTATCCATCTCAGCCCTGTATTTGTCTCGTGAATGTAAGGTGCATCTTCCCGTTGAGGGATACTATGCGTCAGCCATGAAGTATGTTGAGCAGGTCTGTTCATATGACTCGGTTACTGCTCTGCAATGCATGCTACTTCTTATGGTTTATGCGTTGCATAACCCCTCTACTAATGTCAACATATGGAACCTGAACTACCAGTGTCTCGCTAGTGTGATAGACTTAGGGTTACAACGCGACGTCCGCGCATCCCCTTCTCTTGGAATATCGTTGCTTGATCAGGAGATACGGACCCGTATCTTTTGGGTGGTATATACGCTCGATAGAGCCATTTGTACCATGATGGGGCGTCCAATAGGTATCAGAGATGAGGCTTGTGAGATGAGAGTAAGAGCAATGTTTTACAGCGCGTGAGGAGATATTAATCAGGTCATAGTTTCCGCTGGACATACCGGACACGGGCCTTGTCAATCCTGACCCCAATCGCAATGAATCACAAGAGTCACCGTCACACATGTCGCACTCGATCCATCTCTTCAAGTTAGCCAAGATGAACTCAGAGATAAAATATGTCATGCACAGCATTCAACGTGACGTACCGAGGTATGCCTATCCCCCGGTGCGGGATATCTTTACGTGGCAGCGTTATATGATAAAAACACTCAAAGACTGGAAATCGACAATCCCGCAAGAAGTAACTAGTGGAGGAGACGTGATGGCCAAACTCTGTAAGACCAGATATCACGAAACAATGGTATTGCTACTGCGACCAAGCCCTGCAATTCCAAGCCCATCGGAAGAGACGCTCGATCTGTGTTTTCATCAGGCGGTAGATCTCCTGCAAACCTTTGGTGACATATACAGAACGGGAAGCCTGCTTTACAGCCGACTCCTTGTTCACTCGGTATTCCTTGGGGCGCTTGTATTACTCTACTGTATCTGGAAGCTACCGAGAACTACAACGAAGGTGCGCGTCGATGAACTCATGTCGAGTCTCACCATGGCACAGAATATACTTAGTAGCATCGGGGAGCACTGGAGCGAGGCTACTCGGGCACGGGATTGCATTGACGAGCTATCCCGTGTGACAATAGAACGGCTTCTGAGAACCCAATCGACTGCCGAATTGTACACTGAAACCGACAGAACGCAGTCGCGAGCTGGAGGCATGCAGAGCTCGTTATCTGCGCAACACCATCAATTGGCAGAATATGATGGCATTCCCCCGAGGTACCGCAACTCTGATCAAATACCCGGAGCCTTAGCTCCTCCTCAAGAATACCAGCCGGAAGATACTTCTTACCACTTCAATCTGTTCGATGATCTCCTGCAGGGCGACTTTCAAGGCTGGAGTGGTATGCCTGACATCGATGGGCTGATGTGGGAGGTCTTCAACAGCTCACCACAGTGAAGAAGGCAAAAGATGCCGATCGAAGCAGACGAAGAAGCTTTTTCGGGCCTGCAATAACAAGCCTACTCATCAGGGGCTTACACCATCCCAACGGAAACTGATGTTCCCAGTGACCTAAATGTCAGGCAAAACAAACCCATCAATATGACCTTAACTGAGTCATACGTCCAATCGGGGCCTATCCGTCACACTTCGGAAGTGCCCCGTGTGGGGCGACGGCCAACCCCGATAAGCTCCGAAACAGCTCCCCTCATAAAAGCATCGCATCCTCAATCTCAACATTAACCTCGAACCCGATAACAACAACAAATCCTCCCTAATCATCTACATTAGATAAAAATCACATTCACCAAAATGGCCGACCCCCAACACCGAATCCGTCACATCAACCCCACCCACCTGGAAACATTCATCCAGTCCATCCTGACCAAAAACGGCGTCTCCACCGACCACGCCAAGATCATATCATCATGCCTCGTGCAAGCCGATCTCCGCGGCGTAGACACGCACGGCTCCAACCGCATCCCCTCATACATGCAACGGATCCGCCAAAATGTCCTTTCACCCAGCGCCACCCCCACTCTCACTGAGAAAACCCCCGTTGTCGCTCAAGTAGACGGACACAACGCCTTCGGGTTCGTCGCCGCACACATGGGCATGCAACGCGCCATCGAGATGGCCAAAGTATACGGCATCGGCCTCGTCTCCGTCAAGCACTCGAATCACTTCGGCATGTCCGCATGGGTAGTCCAGCAGGCCCTGGATGCAGGAATGATGTCCCTCGTATTCACGAACTCCTCGCCCGCCCTGCCCGCCTGGGGCGGTAGATCCAAGCTGATGGGTGTGTCTCCGATCGCGTGCGGCGCTCCAGCTGGATCTACCCCGCCGTTTATTCTGGACATGGCGCCGTCAATCGCCGCCAGAGGCAAGATCTACAAGGCGCTTCGGCGCGGGGAGAAAATCCCGACTGATTGGGCGCTTGATGGCGAGGGAAACATGACGGATGATCCGGCTAAGGCGCTTCAGGGCGTGATGCTTCCCATGGGTGGGCCGAAGGGGTCTGCATTGGCGATAATGATGGATGTGTTTTCCGGGGTGTTGTCCGGGTCTGCGTTTGCTGGAGGTGTGACGGGGCCGTATGATCCGTCTAAGCCGGCGGATGTGGGGCATTTCTTGGTGGCTATCAAGCCGGATTTATTTATGGGTTTGGAGGAGTTCAAGGAGAGGATGGATTATTTGTATCAGAAGGTAGTGGAGAGTGATAAGATGACTGGGGTGGAGAGGATTTATTATCCTGGGGAGATTGAGCAGATTACGAGGGAGACGAGGTTGAAGGAGGGTATCCCGTTTACAGAGGCGGAGATTGAGGCGTTGAACAGGGAGGCGGAGATGGTCGGGGCGGAGAAGTTGAGGGTTGATTGATTTCGTCTCTTCATAGTGGATCTGGGTGGTTAATTTCTGTCTTTACATGTAAATGAGCAATGGATGTCAGGCATGGACGGCAGCCGTTTGCGGCAAGCAGGAAACCGCAGAATTTTCTTCTCTGAGAGCACAGTGTTAAATTGTATTTGCAATATTTGAGTTGAACATTGACTTGGACATGGCGGACACAAAAAGTACCAGGAGATGAATAAGGATACAAACGAAAAGCACAGCGAAACAAACCAGTGGAATATCAGTATATTATCATGATAACCTCTTCACCTGCGGGACTTGCACCACTCCTGAACCGCGACATGCCCTCTGAGGATGTCTCATTATGCAGCGAAGAAGTGAACGACAGAGCAATCTTCCAGTCCAAGAACTCAGCGTTGTTGAATGGGTCGGATTATACAATTAGCGGAGCCGTTTTTCTCGAAATTTTTTGCAAGATTCAGAACGTGTGTGTTCTGAGAAGACGCTGACATTCTGGAAATTTTCGGTGCAGGTTCCTGGACACTTCGGAATACTTGTTCGTGAGAGACCTGTCCATGAAAAGACTGTACCGATCCTCCACTCCCGTCACTGCCTCTGGAACGGAGTCTGTCAGGTTTCGGTCGCAACGGACCTGGAGGGATAGACTTGTGGGGTCCTCCTGAGATGTTTTTGCTACGTTCTGAAGGTGCTGACCCAGTGTTGCTGGAGAAGGTGGTGCTACTCCGAGGTGATTCAACTACCGGTTCGGCCCGCCTGTCGTCCAGCATAGGCGTTGATGTATGGTGGTCATTTGTCCCGTTAGGAGCAGCCGTCTCAAAGTTTGAGTCCCTACCGATCCCAGAGCTCTGTTCTGGTTCAACTTTGGTACCCTTGCGTAGCGACATCTTACCAACCAAGCCCGAAAATTTGTCTTGGGTTTGGCTGATGAAGTTGGGCTTTTCAAACTTGGATCGCTGCCAGAAGCTGTCATTAGCTTCCTTGGTATCCTCGATCGCTGCTGTTTCATTGACAGGAGAATCGGCTTGCTTGTCGCCGCGTTTGCTGATAAACCTGCCTCCGAGGTGAGTCATGTGGGAAGCAAGTCTCAATTTGTCTTTATTGGTGTAGTCTCCAACACTTTCGAGAACGTCCCCCGCCACATCCAAAGTCTCACCGATGAAAGCGGCAGCTTTTCGGCACTCCGCAGACTTACTAGTAACAGTAGCACGCAAAGTCGCCCATTCTCGCTTACTCTCAACGCTTGAGCTTCTATTCTCTTGCTGTAGGATTGTTTCTGCAAGTTCTTGGAGTGCAGTTGCGAGTTTGTTGTGAGACTCTTCGAGGTTGTGAAGTTGTACGGCTGTTCGGCTCAGTTCGTCCTCGTTGCGTGTCACTGACTCTTTCAAGCGGTCGAGGAGCAAAAAGCGCTGATCGACCCCTTCAAGTGAAGCCTGCACCCTCAAAATTGCCTCTTGGTGATTTGACAAGGAACCATCTACTACAACCTTCAGCTCATCGATTGACGCTTCCACAAACCGACGAACTTCCTCCTCGGTAGTACCGATCTGAGTCTTCTGAACATCGGCGACAGGAACCAGCTTCAAAAACTCGACGGCGGTAAGTGCAGCAGCCATAGCAGCATAGCCATGCCACTCGTCGTTCTTATGCGAATCTGCATAATCACAGATGCCGCGGATGACAATGGCATTGATGCTCGTTAATGCCGCCGACTCCATGTCAAAACAGATTGTGCCAAGCTTACTCGCATCACGGTCGCGAATCTTTGCATTCTTGATGACTTGGTCACCCGAAGCTATTGGCCCGGAATGCACCATAAGACGGTTACGCGGAAGGCGCTCTTCCCGGGCGACAATGCGGTCAGGAAGACCGGACTTGTCCCTTATGCAATCGCAATCATCACTATGGATATAGTCGGATGCATAGAGGCGGTCCACCATCTTGCTCCGAGGCTGAAACCTGTTTCTAAGAGCGATGCCCAGAGCACGAATTTTGTCGTCAACAATTCTTCCCATGTCTATATCCATGAGTGTGCGCCTCTTCAGATGATTTACACGACAAAGCAGGATTTCGGGAGGGCGAGGAACATGGCCAGTGTGCTCAAAGCCTTCAGTCGTATCCTTGCCAAACCTGGCTGGTTTGACCATTGTGCCGACAACCACGTCACCCAGGCGCACGTCATTACCAGCTCGTGGAGAGCCCCCAGCAATCCCAACCATCACCGCAAATCGGAGAGTTGGAAAGGTGCTTCGCATGTTTGTTACGACAGTTGCAGCTGACGCCAGCCCATAGGACTCCGCGGGTAGACAGACAACCACCACATAGTGATTTCCAATGCGACCCCGCGTGTACTCATTGTAATCTCCTCCAGCCTGCACATCTCCGGGGTGGGCCTCGAACTTCTCATCCAGTACTTCCAGCGCAGCAAGGTACTCGATAAAGATGGCACATATCCATCCCACTGTGAAGTCGCACGAAGGTGGGGGCTTTCTCAGAGATGAAACTGAGTCTGTCGCGAAAGTGGGATTTCTGGAAGACATGGTCAAGGCTGTAGCGAAGACTGCACAAGGAGAGGAGTAGCCGACTCGTCGAAGAAGTGTATCACACAAGACAGAGGCTGTGTCTCTGGGGAACCAAAGAGCAATCCTATGGGACGCTTGTAACTATTTGGAGAATAATGATGGTCAATCAAAAGCTGAATGTAATCTGGACGAAGACTCACTCACCTTTAAGCCAGGCTACCCCTTGGTTTAGGTACAGCTCCGTTGTGTTTCCATATCCACTCAGGGATTATGAAGGGCTTTTACACCCGGGGACGCTGTAAGCGGCCCCCTAAATAACCTGGCCTTCAGCCTCGCGTATGATAAACCACTCAAAACCTGCTACCGGGCTGTGCATGCCACTAATGCCGCGAATGCAGACCTGCATGGAAAGCAGTGGACGCGATTCGAGCCCCTAGACATGCTAACCTCAAGGAGCAATGATGGCGTCCTATGGCGACCTTCCCGTAATCACGAGGAATAAACTCTAAAGTCTGAGTGCGCCCAGTAACGAATCAAAGATCAATGTTTGCTTTTTCTTGGACAGGGGAACACCATGGTTGAGACCATTCTGTAAGCAGCCTCGCTGCCGTCGAGCCTTGTCTATATCAGCAAGCAAGTCATAGTCAGGGGCCATCTGGTGTTTCAGAGGTCCCGACCACTTCGACGCCTGCCGGTTGAATTGGCAGGCACAAGCTGATGGTGTTATTTCCCGTTTGGGATCTGCAAGGCTGTGAGTGAAAAGAAGTGAGGAACCAAGCCATGCTGGGTAGAGTGCTATTCTGTACATAATCTCCTGCTTACCCACCTTCAAATCTTCTGGTGGGGCGAAGATAGCTCTGAAGCCTAAGACTGGACGGTCAATTAGCTGGGATTATCTGTATAGCCTCGTTTTCTCATATGGAAGGGTGTGGCGTTTGTGGTTGCCCGATTCCTGCCTAACCCCGAAACTCCGACGTCCAGAGGCCCGAGCCACATTAGTAAGTTTCTCGACATCGTCTACTATTGGGTAACTATTGATTAGCACCGTAATTGGGTTACTTATGACATGAGAGCCAAGCTACTCAAGGCAGATTATCGAGACTACCCCTTGACAGACTTTCTGAAAAAAAGGTATTGGAGAAGGCATCGTGTGGCTCATTGTGATTCACATCGTACCAAGGATGAGAGACCTATACTAATAATACCTTTTTCAGTATCAGTGAAATACGACAGAATATCAGTGATTAATGGTAAGACTATATATAAGATAATAACATGAAGGTTTCTATTAGAGCCATGTTGCCCTCACTCGCCAGCTATAAATACATCTCCCCATCAGGACACCATCCATCACCTCTGACCCCTCACCATCTGATCTCTGATCTACAAGCCAGACGGAAAAATGACCGACGGATCATAGACCGCTGGAGTGCTGGTAACAAGCGTACCATTCCAGCAATAGCGCTGAAAGCACTGCTCACAGGCAGCAGGCACCGGTGTGTTCGTCCGGTCAAACGAACGACTAAGCACAGCACAACCCACACAGGTAGTCCACTCGTTATCCAGAGTGCCATTAGCCTGAGTCGCTACATTAAAACCATTGGTGATCATAGCGTCCCGGGCCGTGGTATTGAACGTCGTATCTGTAGTCGTTGTGTTGGACATATAAGTGACGGGGTGATTAGGCAAGTAGACAATCAACGGAGCAGGTGTAGTCGTGTTCGAACTATTGCAGCCGAAGAAAGTGGGATGGCTAATAAGACCCAAGTTGACAAAGGTGTTTCCATCCGGAATGGAAGGGAAGGAGGTATCGTTGGCGTAACCGGCAAGAGTTCGCTCATAAGTAGCGATAAGCGACTCTCCAGTGGGCCATTTGTAGCCGGCATCATTGTTGTTGGAGTCGATGGCGAAGATAACATCAACGTCGCGCTTTCTTTGGATGAGTGGGTTAAGAGGAATATTCTCTTCATCCTCGCCGCCGTCGACCACTGTCAGCCTTGTAGTGTTTGCAAAAGGTGAGGTGTTCGCGTTGTATCCATAGAAAGGATTGGGCTCGTAGGCAGCTGGGCCACTGGTGGCGGTGTTGTTGGAGCTGACAGCGCCCATAACTTCCTAGAGGATGTACGAAAGCAGTTCTACCTCCAAAGCGCCCTCGGTAGTGTTGGTTGAAACTTCCGCTATCGCAGCACGTAGAGTGGCAGCAATGTCTGTGCCATTTTCATTCCAAATGTCGCTGGACGTTCCGGTGATAAACCCAGCGCTGTCGAAGCCGCGCACACAAGTCTCATTTTCGGGCACCTGGCCGTTCACGAAACGGGTGCCCAAGTACTCAAGTGGTGCGAATCCATACATATTGTTGTCGTAAGTTCCAAATTCCCAAGGCGAGATTTCGTAGATGGGTTTGTCTTCCCCGGGCTCGTCGTTGGCATCGGCGAAGGACTGGCCGTCAACCACCACCAGTGGCAGTGGCATGTCTCCGTGCTGGAACGCCCGTGTCTTCGCAATCGAGGACCAATGGATGTCAACGCCGCCATGGCTAGCGTTGAGGAAGTAGTAGCCTTCAGCACGACCCCTGCATTAGTTAGCATCTACCCGTTGCTGTCCAGGTTGGGTTGATTGTTATTGAGTTAAGGCTTACCAGATATCTGCGTCAGTGGTGGTAAAGCCGGCAGCCCTTTTGGCCTTCACCTGAGCCGTGATATTACCCCAAAAGTCGGTAGGCTCCATGGTTGCAGGTCCTTCGAGGATGGATGCTGAACTAAAGTCCCAGAAAGTATCCTGAAGGGCGGAAATGGTCGTGAAGTTGTTCATGAACACAGAAGACAGCAACCAGGAGCCTCCACTGAGAGCAGAAACATAGGTTGCAGATTGAAGTAGACCACCCAACTGGCCCTGAGCAGCCGTACCCTCAGTCCGACTGTCGAATGCTTTCAGGGCACCAGCACCATTCAACATTGCGCGCATACCACCACCGGATATAGCAATTGCAACATTGGGTAAGCTGGATGAGTCGCTCGTGTCGAGGTAATCCAAGGCGTCAAAGCAACCAATCTCAACATGACCGAAGAATTCTTTCAACCCTGATAGAGACTTTTCACGTCGGGTATCTAGCCAGGAAACTTCCTCGGGAGAGAGTGTTGCAGCGCCACGAATGCTAGGCCGGTTTGCCGGGCAGGAAACATGGACCGGAGCATAAGGGTTTGCGGCATTTGACAAGGCCCGCCGCTCAACGCTGACATCCGTTCGAGCTCGGCGATTATTTATTTGGGATGGAGCAGCAGATGTGGCTGTAGGACGCAATGTTAATTAGTCACTTGAATCGAGTATCACCGAGATGTCGATAATCGAGAGAAATGCGCAAAGAACTTACAAGGCAGGAAGGCCAAGGCAACCGAGCCAAGTAGTGCAGAGGTCTTCATGATTACTGTGTAAGAACCAAATGAGACCTTGGTAGGTGAATCGATAGTGTTTAATTGAGGATGGAGAAGAGCTCTGAATGCTCTTGGGTTTGATCGATATTTAAGCTTCCCAGGTGCACCAAAAACCACAGCTACCCAAGGCTGAAATGACTTTAAAGCTGAGCCCCATCCCACCGATCTGGTACACCCATTTAGGAATGGCAATATAACCCATGGTGGGGACAACAATAACCCCAGGCGTAAAGGCGTCAAGACTCAAAGTGGATTTGGGGGCGGAGTGTCCCACCCCAGCCGAGATTTAGACCTTAGAGGACGACAGACGAGCACTTGGATGCCCTGACCCATGCACGCTAACCCTAATGAGTAACAAGATCGGTGAAGATGAGCTTGATTGAATGCTACATTCTGACAGATCCGTTTTTCAACATGACGAAGGGGCCAAATTGTCAGTATGCACACTAAACCTAATCAGGCAACCAGCTCGGAGGCTGAGCGGTGGACAACGATCGGCGCGGGCCACGTTTGCTTCCTTTCTTCCCCATCGTTGAACACTCCCAGTCAACGCAGCCACCACTTGCAGAAATGCTGGAGCCCACGAGGGTGGAGCTACGCTTCTCATCTCTGATCACTGTGTCGCCCAATTTGTTGCCGCACCAATCAAGGATCCAGCTCCATCCAACAATAGACGTTGCCATATGAGCATAACGAGTGGGGTGGTTTAACTCTGCTTTGCAGTGGGTCATGGCCCATAAGTACAGTCTACAGCGGTCTGCATTTGGTTAAGCTCATCAGCGCTCGACCATTCAAATGCAGCCACCGGATACGCCGCAGCGTCAGAGGCTGTGTGAGAGCTACGCGAACTGACCTATGATTGATCACTTTGGGTGGGGATATTGACATTGACATGGTTGAATTTGAGAAGAGTAGAAGCTGCGAAATGGTATCTGAATTCTAAATACTAACATATTCTATCGAGAAGCAAAAGAAAAACAGAGGAAAAGAGGTGCACGAGACGCCGTACAAAGAAATCAGGATCTATTCGCATAAGAAATCGGGGAGAAGCTTCCGCTGCTAAGCCGCAATGCCAACTGAAGTCGGCTGGACGACATCAAGCTTTCCATAGTCCGTTTCATCTTTCAGTTCGCGGAGATGTCGGGTGCGGACACCAACGACGATTATGGCCACGGTCGCAAATAACTCCGGAAGGAACATGAGAACAACGCGTACAGACATTAGCCCATAGACCGGACTAAGATCTTTGCTCTCGGTGCAAACAGCAACAAGTGCGTAGATGACACGGACACCGATAAATGCTAGTGCAACCAGCGCACCCTGAAGGATCTACACAACGACATGTCAGTCAACCCATTACCTGAGAAGCATCTAGCAAATATGAAATACTTACCGCAGTGCCGCCTTGATATCCCGGACCTTGAATCCCTTTATCGTGGAATTGCAGGGAGTAAATCGACCACCCAATCTGGAAAATCCAAACTACAACGACCAGGGCTGATCCAGCCTTCCATAATGAATAATCGTCGGATTGTGCTTTGTCCTCGAAAATATCCAGACATGCCTTGATGGAGAGACTTATAGCAACCACCATGGTGACTGATGTCCCGACCACAACGGACCAGTTGAGGCGACGACTAGCGTAGGGATAGCGATACGTTCGACTGTCGTTATTTAGTACCATATATAGCATATTTCGAGGCATAAACGTACGCTTCATGAACCAATCCGTCGACGCATAGAATTAGAGGCGTGACTCCCACACTCTGGATTATGTTTGCTGCCATGCTGCTGCTGTCGCGAACCCCTAGAGCACCTCCAATAACTCGAGCGGAACAGAACATGGATAGGGAGTACCAGGCTAAGAACCCGGTCCATCGGTGAGTTATGAAATTGTAGACGACGATCGGCGAGAGGATCAGGTAAGCCGCAAGGTCGGCTGCAAATATTCCGTTCATTTTGTGAATGTCAAAAGTCTCAATATAAGATATATTTCAAGATGGAAAGAAAAGAGTAATAGAAGGATCGCTTGATCGCTTTGGCCGATTTTATTAGAAAACCGCATCTTATCGGAGAACACAGGAATTCATATACCCTTCGAACTGAGGCTATACCAACGACTGACTTTACCTATAATGGCATATTGATCGGGAATATGCAGTATTCAGCCTCGCGATCATCTGCAGCTACAAGTACCATCGCAGGGTTGTTCTATATTCTGCAACCCGTGGCTGGGTTTCGGGCTGAGCAAGTGGGAGAATATAAAGTTTCGGAAACTCGACCCAATGGCATCCAAGCCCCCCACATCCACGGCTACTAGTGCTTATTTCTAGCTTATGCCCGATGTGCTTGGTCGGCTTTAAAGGCAGCCAAGTCCCACTTGCTGGAAGCCAAGCGTCTTCAAACTCTGGCATCCGAACTGGTTACCTTTCTGGGAAGTCACTATCCACACAGAGCCCTATTGCCATGGTGTACCGGGGGAAGCCAGGTCTGGGGTGTGCCTTATGCAGGACACGGCGACTAATCGTACGTGGTGTGCCTCGAAGCTCTTGACGATCATGGCATACTGACAAAACAGTGCGATCGACGTCGCCCATCGTGTACACAATGCCTGAGGGTCAACCAGGAGTGCTCTGGGTATCGCGATCCCAATGTTCTAAGAATCTGCGACCAAACCGACGAGATTACAGTGAAAGTCGAAGGTCGAGGGACGATCGCCCGCAAACAACGCAAGTCGCCTTCTTCGTCAAAGTCTCCTTCCCCAGCCTCTATACTCCCTCCGCCAACCACGATCGACGACCAGGTCATGTCGCATATCTTCACTTACTACGTCGGTACAACGCGAGTCCAGGGTCTCCTCTCCTACCTGCCCCACCTGCTAAGCACCGACCCGTCTCCTGCACTCCAAGCCACGATGAAAGCTGCAGGGCTAGAAAGCATGGCGAGAATCAACCGACTTCCCGAACTAAAGCGCGCGGCAGGGGAACAGTACGGCAAAGCCCTGATTGCCACCAACAACGCACTACGAGACCCAGTATCGGCCAAATCTGACTCCACTCTCGGGGCTGTTATATTACTCGGCATGTATGAGGTAAGATTAGATTAGCTCCACCGATCCCTGGCTCAGCTTTCTAATGCAGGTGCTAGTTGAACACATTCCCGAGTCCAATGCGGGGCTGGTCGCAGCACGTTCGCGGAGCCACAAAGCTTGTTGAACTACGTGGGATGGAGCAGTTGAACTCATCAACAGGACTTGAGTTGTTCAGACTGGTGCGCCTGCAGAATGTAAGTCTCACCACAACTAAAGTATTCGCGCTGCCTCTCACCCTTATCAGGCAATTAGTAGCATTTTTAGGAGATCCCAGAGGTACAACTCGTCAAAGATAGCAGCCCTTACGAGCGTAGCACGAGCCAATAAGGACAAGAATCCACAGCCAATGGAAACATTCTGCGACATACTGATTCAGCTACACGACCTCTCTATCGAAGTGGACGACGCAGCATTGGCTGACGATTCCATCGACACCCTGAGCATACTAGTCAGCAAGGCTCTCCACCTTGACACTGACCTGCGATCCTGGGCCATGTCACTCGGTCCGCAATGGCAATACTCCGTCGTTGACACACACAGTAATCCCACATCTCGCCCTCAATTTCCTCTTCACAGCGACACTTACCACGTATACAAGGCCGTCGGGGTAGTCTCAATGTGGAACCATTACCGTCAAACCCGAATCATAATACACGAGATGATCAGGTCAATGGCTCTACGACTCTGGGGCCTACAAGGGACATCTGAATGCCAACAGATTGTGTTCGACTCGATAGACACTATCAAGCAAATGACGGACGATATCTGCGCTAGTGTCCCATACCACTTTGTCTCCGGAGAAGTGACATTCACAGCTGTGGTTCGCCTGCTATGGCCTCTGTTCGTGGCGGGTGACTGTGCAAGTTCAGAACCCGCCACGAAGGAATGGATCGTCCGGACTTTGGAGCACATTGGGGATACGACGGGAATTCAGCAGGCCCTTGGTATGGCGAAGATGCTCAGAAATGGGCATACGAGGAGCTTTATTCCGGGGACGTGAGGATGGGTTGTGTTTTCATGATGATGTTATATATCTCCCGCTCTCTATTCTTGATTTCCTTCAGCGATGCGTCTGGTTACTTATGCCTCGGCGAGACACCCGGCTTCCCTTCGTCTTTCACTCCGCACACGATCGGATAATGCATAATTAAATAAAGCAAAAAATGAATAATACACAACAGCAGGGCTTCACTAGTTGTCACCCACTAAATCCCAGACAATCCCCGAGGATGTGGCTTGGTTATAGCCTGGTGGGTGCCATCCATACAAGTAATCAGATGAGGCTGCTTTCAGTCGCACAATAATTGGGCGACTTAGAATAAAGTGTGCAATGAATGAATGTTTCAGCAAAGTGACTGTCATCCTCCAGATTGGGCGCACAGGAGATAGCAGTTTTCACAGCACCCTTATGCTGCGTAGAGAATACGTGACGTTCGATCGTGAAAACCCCCAACACCTTATCCCCTTCATTATCTTCCTCAACAACGCGACTACAATACAGTAAAAACGACTGTAGATTCGCTCCTGTCGCGTCGTCCTAATGTAGAGCAGGAATGTAATCGCTGAAAAAGTTCCCATCAATACTGTATCCATGAATCGCAAAATGTAAGGAGCGATTGACCAGGAGGAAGGCAGTAGAATCGGATGGATCTTCATGGACAACATGTACGGCGAAGACCTTACGGCCTCGCGCATTCTCGGAGCATAGCATTTCTATGACCACCTCAAAGAGGAGCAAAGCCCCAGCAGTATCTTCTTTTGCGGGAGTGGTTGTTTTCAGACGTGGTAGGACGGTATGCGCGAGGTAGGCTAAGATATCAGGGTTAGGCCAGCGCAGGCATAATAGCACGAGAATCCAGCACATGTTCATATTATACATCTCCTCGTATAGGTAGCG